GTTATCTCTAATATATATAGATCTCCGATATCCCCCCAAACTAATCCAACTTTGCCAACACATAGTGTAGCCCCAGCTGTGAACAAGTCTCTCATCTTTTTCATCTTCAAAGTTTATTTCATGAAAGAAAAATAAAAAGTTGTATTTATTTACATCATATATTTAGCTTGTTTCCAAGAATAGACACATATAGGTCTAACATGATCCAATTTGAAGGGTTTTGATCAATTTATAACGGGTCTAGGACCAGATCGGGTGCCGTCCGTTGCAATTTATAATCTATTTTAGACACTAAACTGTTCGATTGAACCATTCCATCACGTCATCCTCAACCATTTGTAATCAACATATAGATCTTCGTATCATGAGTTTAAGCATCACTTAACACTAACAGTTAAACTTTGAATTTCAAATTCTAAACAATATATATGGTAATATAAAACAAAAAGTTAAAAGAGACATAAGTCTGACTTATATTACAAAGCTATGCAATTACGCTCAAGTAAGTGACTCAACATTTATGGATCCATAATACAACAATAATTCAATTAATTGCTTAATAAACATTGTAATTATTTGGAGATGTGCCTTTAGTCAAGTGATTAAGTCGACTTGATTCCGCCTTTTCCACCGGATTTCGATTCCAGTAAGTCGCGTTACCCCACGTAGTAGGGATTGACTATGGATCGGGTCTTGTCGATCCAAAGATGTCAAAAAAAAAAAAAAAACATTGTAATTACTTAATTATTCTATACACAATATTGATTTTCATTATGTTGGATTTAAATCGACGTCAATTTAGGAGAAATAAGACTGGAAATATATTGATGAAATATGCAAAGGGTCCAAACAGAAAGAGACTGATTGAAATATTTCTATTTTTCCAAGGCTATGGCCAACCCTATGGGGACTTTGCAGCAAATATTTTTGACCATCCGTGACAATATTGCCTAATTATTCGCCACATACACAGTAAATTAAATTAGAGAAAATAAATAAATTAATATATATGCATAATAGGGTCACATTTTGTATTTTATTTTTACTTTGTGATCTAAAGAGTTCCATCCTTCTCGTCATCATGGAAGCAACACTACAATGTATGGTCTACTTAGCATGCATCTAAAGAAAAAGAATTGAGCAGTGAATCTTCTCTTGTTTCGTCAACGGTGAATCCGAAATTTATTCCAAGTTAATATATATGACCATGCACATTCATGAACTCATACAAAAATTTATCCACAACAAAAGGGGTGACTAAAAAAGAGGTGACTATTTTTTAACAAACATAATCAAAAGATTAATCCATAGATAATCATAATTATATAGAAACAAAACAAAACTTAATTAGTAGTATAAAGTATGTGTTGATGGTGTTAGTTGTTGGAGGGAATGGCCCAAGTTCCCAAAGAGATTGATTATAGTTTTAACGAGATGAAAACGTTCGTGGGGCTATTTTTCTGATCACATCATGCCCAAGTAGGAGCGGTCTCCCAATCCTACCACTCACCTCCACGTGTCTTTTTTTCTCCCCCTATCGCTGCCCATTACATATGTAAACCAAAATAAAAATTATAGGGACTTTGAAGAAAACGGAGATTTTCTAAAACTAAAAGAGCCGGAGATTTTCTATGTAACGCATGCAAATGGAAATACAATAAAACCCTAAAAAAAAGATATTTCTAAGTAAAAATTTGCCGTATACACGTGATTATTCGATTCCGTTTAACGATTGTTCAAAACAATGGTATATATATATATATATATATATATATATATATACACTTTAACAAAAAAACAAATGGTATATATACACAAGTTATATAGATTGTACGTATTGGTAAGTACGTTTAGATATGCGTTAATTTTATCTCTTCTTGTTTGCTTAGTCTAATGGTCATGTACCATTTTCAACTGTTCTTATAGGAATTCGAACTTGCTCAATTTATGGTAATTTTAGAGGATTAAACCATTAAGTCAGTTAATTTTTTCACGTAGAAATTAAACTTACTAAAATATCTAGACTTTTTGCTGTCAAAAAAAGAAAGCAAAATGAGGTCATATTTTTTAATGCAATGAATATCTTTTGACCATCATCCTAATCTAACAAAAATATTATTTAATTTACATATGACCACTTTTATATACTACAAATTAGGCCGTGCTCGTGGTTTTCGGTACGACGGTATCACTGTATATAATATCATGCGGCTCTCTTATCATTACTAAGTTGCCTTTTATCTTTTATTCGCCAAATCTTATGGAACTCATTTTATATAACAAAAAATATAGATTCATTTGGTTTGAGGGCTCAGCTCCACCTCTTGGGTTCTAGACTTCTAGTCAAGGCAGGAGAGGGGAAGAAAATATGATATTTTTCAAAATGAATGCTCCATATATAAAACCTCTTACTTTTTTTCCAAAGGTAAAACCCTATACCACTCTTCACCAAGTTGGAGAACAAAAAAAGCCTTCTAAATAAGTGTTACATCAATAATCCAGAAAATACGCACTATACTAAAATATAAACGTTTAGTAGAGGTTAAATTGCTTGGGATTCCTACAATCGCATGGGGCCTCGCTACATATTGGAGCCAGCTTTTCTAAACCTAAACCCACTCTTCTTCTTTTGAAATATTTCCTTCCTATACCTACAAGGCTATACAACTATTAGGAATCCGATGTCCATTTCTAATTTTTCTTTAAGTCCTCGGTAATCAAATAAAGCATTCGGTTAAGGTGCCCTTGATCATCAGATTCTTATACTGAGGTTTCTTTTCTTATAGATATCACTCTAATTTCTTTGCATGGCTTTATATATATACTATGTGTTGTTAAAGTTAACATATATATTATCCTTCTGAAATTCGTTCAAAATTATCTATATAACCCACTCGAGATTTTTCAGTTTAATTTTTATATGAGGAAAAAAAATAGGAGGGTGTAAGGACATGCATGCTTGCACAATTTAAGGATGCTTGTTAGCCTGAAATTTGACAAAACTTCTACAATGCGCCGCCCCTTTTATTTTAAAATTAAAAAACTGACCAAATTCAGAATTAACCACTTTCCTTTTTGAGATAAAGTTATACATATTATAAGGTTTTTCTATTATAAATTCTAAGTTATCCGTTTCTCCAAAAATAAAAAATAAAAAGAATTCTAAGTATATTTACCGTACGATTCCACATTCTTTTAGATTTTTCATGAATACGTACATGAAATTAGGCATGTATGTGTACGCATTCAATACGCGTACTTGTTTACACGTGTGCAAATGAAAAATTACATACGCACACGTACATGTAAAGTATTTGTGCCCATTGCATGTGAAACAATGTGACATAAAGCTTGAGAACAAAGAGAGGAATCTTAATTCTGTAAAATGTTATTTTTCAATTGAAAGTTGCTGGTAGATAGAGAGCCATCTATCTTTACGGTGTATACGTATTTATGCTTTATGCAACTTTTATGAACTCACATTGCGAAACTAACTTCTAACACTATATTTTGGAGATAATGTATTCATAATTCGCATATTTCTCTCAAAATTGTGCACCATTGAAAAGAATTTTTGTCCAAAATAATCTTTTTTCCCAATAGTATATATGCCAATAGTCAAGCATTCTTGGGCTTTGTTTATATGGACTAATGATCTCATAAATGAAATTACTTGAAGGAAAATTAAATAACTTATTTTCAGAAGAAAACAAAAAAAATAACTGAAAGAGAAACTAAATTTGATTTCAATATATATATATATATGTTACGATTAAGATTCAGTTAATCCTCCTCATACTCACATAATTTTTTCAATGAATAGTTTCATAAATAAAATTTATTAAACTATATGATAAATAATAAATGACAACGACATATGATAAACTACCTAAGATTTGATGAGAATGTGTCATGGTATGGTCAAAATTGGGAAATGGGGAAGACTACCTAAGATTTGATGAGAATGTGTCAGAGTCAGAAGCTTTAAGGCCTCTCTCTACTTCTATGGTCATCAACATTCTCTTACGAAATTCTCTATTATATTTTTGTAACAAATTTTAGTGGTATCCAATGGAGATTAATATGGTCAAATTCAACAGATATATGGAATTCTTTTTAATCTTTGAGTTATTAGAATTATTAGATTACTAGCAAAGGAAGCTATTGAATATGTAAATCACATTTCTTGTATTTGAATCCGTTATCCCCAAAAAAACGTAATCATATTTTCATATGCGAGTAGTATAGAAATGTGGCATATTGTTATTCAGTTATACATTTTCGTTTGCCCATTTGTAGACGTTTTAAATTGTAAGAATATCCAGATTTCTATATAAACTTAATTTAGAGATTAATTTGCATATGATGATCTTGGTTACTAGAAAAAGTAGAAATAAATAAACATGTATAAAATTAAGAGAATCGAAGCTATTTTTAAGTTGAAACTATTAATAATAATAATTAATGAACCTCTGAGAGCATCAACAGTGGAGCAAGCTGAAGGGTGTTAGAGGTAATAAAAAAAGAAGAAAATTGTCTCTTTCCTCACACCCGGGTGTAACTTTACACTCGGGTGTAACACACACTCTCTCTCTCTTTCTTTTTTTTTCTCTTTTATATCTCTCTTTAAATTATAATAATAAAAAAAAGTTTACACCCACTTTCTCCACTGCCCATGGTCTTAGATTGTGGAAGCCTTTTTGGCCATTGCTTGACTAGGTTCATTAATGGTTTTACACCCAGAAGTTTGGGGTTTGTATCCCAGATACTGCGATTTATTAATAAATTTGCAGATTATTGGAGGCAAGTGTGCAGGAAAGAGGTCGTGGATCTAATAAGGGTCAGAAGGAATTGTCCGTTGTAGAATCGTCTATATAACAGTTATGCTAATTTGCAATAAATAATAAATCCAGAAGAAAGAAAAAAAAAAAAAAAAACCCTCGTAGATTCTTAAAATGCACGCCATTTTGAAGAAAACGAAGAAGATAATATCCATGCCATTTATCTAATCTAAAAGAGAACTACTTGCCGTTTCAATACAATCCAAAATTCACGCCGTTTCCTATTGTAGAGCCAAAAAACGCGGAGTTTTGTAGACACGATCGCCTTAACGATACAGAGACGAATAAATCAATAACAACTGGAAGAAAGAACATGTAAAGGATTCGATTTCTATTGAAAAAAAAACATAACAAGAACAAGAAGAATCAATTTTGACCAGAAATGAGAAATAATCAAAAGCCTTTAGCACCAGATTCTTTCAAAACAGCAGGTTGATCAGCCATAGATAAACAATATTTAGCAATCTCTCTGAACTTAGGAACACTTCTCAAATCCACTTTTGTTCCATCTTTCAATGTGATGATGATATCTCCCCATTCTCCGATAAACCTCGGCACAACTTGAACGTCTTTAATCACTTTGTACGAGAAATCGCTCCGGTCTTCTCCGGTGAGTCCCGAAATCACCGTCACGCGGAGGTTTGTGAACCTGTAACGGAGGTTAAAGGCTCGGGATACGGCGGCTAAGGTTAGTGGCAGCCAAAGGATGGTTAGACCTAGGATGAGATTGGCTAGTAGATCTCCGTAATGAGCTCCGCCATCGAAGTAGACTGTTTCTTTTTTTGCCGGTTTGGAATCGGAAGGAACGGTGGATGCGGAGGCGGAGGAGGAAGCTAGGAGTAATCTTTGAATGTGTCTTTGTGGTGATTTGGTGGAGGGAGGTAGTAAAGAAGCGGGGAAGGAGAAGGTTGCTGAGAGGAGATGGGATTTGCGAACGACGGAGGTTGCGGCGGTTGACGGCGGAAGGGAGGAAGAAACTGCCATGAGAGAATGATTTGAGTGATTGGAAGATTTGGAGTGAAAGATGATGACTTACTCTGTTTTTTGGATTTGATTTTTTGGCGCAAATTTCGCCACGTGGTCAGAGCTCTATGGATACCACATCTATCCAAATATTGAATCAATATCAACCGTAGAAACCAGAAAAAACAGATTATGCTACTAATTTAAGCTGATTAAGGAATGAAATTAAGCTTAATGTAACCAAGTTTAGATCAGCTTTGTTTATAGATAGATTTCTTTATCGTATTCGTTTTGAAAAAATTTGGTCTTATCACACCTACTTCATGAGGCAGTAGTTATTCATGGTCAGCTTTGCATCATATATATTCACAGACGAATACGGTTCTGAATCAGGTCGTTGGTCTATTCACTGCCTTGAGCCGCGGGTACCGAGATCAGATGCAGCTTTAGCAGCTCGTTCTAATGCACCGGACAGCCAAAGAGCTCCGCTGGAGAAGTAATTGCTATTGACAACACTAGTTGCAGCAGCTGCTGCGGTTCTTCCTGTAGCAAAGACGGCTGATTTAGCCGTGTCTGAAACATGGTACCTTTGGTCAGTCATTCTGACAGCTTCAAGTCCGGTAAAGATTTTGTCAGTGAGACCAATCCTCTGCTCTAATTGGGATACTTTAGCTACAGCCGCAGCTGACACTCCGTGAGATTCATCAAAGGCTTTAGCTTTGCTTAAAGCGTCTTTGCCTAGCACGAATCCTGTGGCAAGCATGGTTTTCACCACTTCTTGAGCTTTTGTCACTGCTTCCCCAGCGTTGAACTCGCCTCGTTGACCATAAGGCTACATGATTGAAGAACGAATAAGCTTTAGAATTGAGACCAAGCATCAAACTTCAACATAAAGACTACTGACTGAACCAGTGATTGTTAGATTCAACTATTTAACAAAAAAAAAAAAAAAGACAGAAAAATCAAAGTTGAGAGAAGTGTCAAAAGAGATTCATACATGTGAGTTAGATTCATCTTCAGAACCTTGCGAAGTCGCATTCCAGAAATCGAACTCTTCGTGATGCTGTCCCCAACGAGTTATACAAACACGCTGATCCAATATCGTTGCGCCCTGAAGATATCAAGGATTCCAAAGGACCGAGATATTCATGCTCAAGAGAAAACCCCCAAAAAGAAAGAAAAAATGGATCAAATCCAAAAATAACACTTACACTGAGTAAAACAGCAGTTTCTTGAGAATAAGAATCCTTAAACATCACATAAGCAGTGCAAGCTTGCTCACCCGACCTAGTCTCGTTAACAACATGACAAAGTTTTATCTTTTGAATCCTAAAATATGCAAACAAACATGAAATTTGCCAAAAAGTTAGAGACTCACCTGACAATATCAATATCTTGGATTGCACCAGAGAAAGAGAAGAAATCGATAAGATCATTCTGAGTAACAGATGGAGATAACCCAGTAACTTCAACACCATATCCATATTGATGATCCATCTCTGCTCAATAAGATGAAAACAAAAAGAAACCCTAAAAATTTCAACATAGATCGAATTCAATAGATTGAATTATTTCCAACTCGTGATTAAACTTCGGGAGCTATACAAAATCGTACATAGATCTTTCCGATTTAGCTTTATATGATTTGGAATTGAAATTTTCAAGCGAAACTTGAGCAAGGTTGGATTGCAAAATATATTCAGACCTAAATCGTTGATCCACACATCGTAGTACTATAGATCTAGAGAAAAGAACTTCAAGGAAATCGAAGGATTCGAAGTTACCTGTTGTAGTTGTTGTTGACCAACAGAGATCACACACACAGAGAAGCTTGAAAGAGAGTCAAAGGTGACGATGTGGGTGGGAAGAAGAAGGACTACCTTTTGGTCCTTTTCAGTGAATGAAGAAACAGACGCAATTTCAAAAGTTAAACCGGCGTCGTTTAATAGCTCAATATTTGGGCCTTAATATCTTGAGTGAGCCCATATCGTTAACGATTCTAAATATATAAACAAAAGCCTGTATAAATGGCCCAATATTGTTTGATTATTTTCAAGTCTCAAACAACCCATAATCACAAAATTATTTTTTGCATCATTTTTTAATAATGTACTCTTGGTTTCAAACAACCAAACTTGTTCTTCTTTTGTTTTTTTTTTCTGTTCCATACATGTTAAAATATTTAGAATAATAATTAATTGTGTGTACATGAAGAACAAATTAACAATGCTCTATAGACGATTTTAACATTCTAGAACCTTTGGTTTGCATGCATATACAAGTTGGATAAATCTTAGTAAATGTTATCTGTCTAACCGTCCAAACTCCAAACAGGTAAAAGTTTTCTCAATGATAATTTTTTAAATCTCTTTTAGAGACAAATTTGACATATGTGTGTGATATAATTAAATACTTATATTATTACTATTAGTACATAAGAGAAATTCAACGGAAAAGAAAGTTAACAAAAAAGAGAAAAAGAAAAAGACGTGTGCCTAACAAATGTTTGATGTATTGGTAAAAAAACGCAAAGAACATTATTATTATTATTATTCTTTGCATATGAGCCGTTGGCCAAATCAATACTTACGTCTCTCCTCTCCTTTCTCCATCTCTCATTGTCTCTTCCTACTTCTTTCCACGGCCACGTACGTCTGTCAAAATTAACTAGATTTTAATTCAGATTCATCTAAGAATCTAAATTTTTTATGTGTGGTTCACGTTTCTATATTCTGACCATGTTGCAGTGTGCTGCTAACTTGCTATGTTATTTTCATGCAAACCAAAAAAAATGCACTGTTCGAAATATGTCTTTTACATTTTTTTCATAAACGTGAACACCAAATAGTGTGATTTTATTTTCAATTGCCTACCAAAATTAGAACTATATTCAACAACAACAATAAGGTGCTTGCTACTATGGCTTTAGAAGTTCAAGTATATGGATTATGGAACTTCTAAACACTACGACTATATATATATCAAACATATATTTGAGAAAGAAAAAACTTTATAAATGTTCTAAATTACAGGAAATAGCTGAGTATTAATTGGTCCTCCATATACAAATTATCTTCACCATATACAATTATAAGAATAGAATATAAAAGGTTGAACATTGACGAATGTATATATTCTGTAGCTAGGTTAGACGTTTTGATTCGGGTTTGAATTTCATAGTAAATATCAAAGAAAGATTTTGATATTGAGTTGACGTCAATTTGGAGATCTACAAGACTACAACGTGTTTTTATCAAACTCACCTAATTTTCTTAAATCATAATTTTCTTTTTGTCTTTAATTGACTCGATTTGTCGATTCAAATATCACATTCCAAGTTGATATCTCCTAATTTCTCTCTATTGTTAATAATGTTTATTTTATTGTTATTATATTATTCAAATCTAGCTAGCTAGTAAGCTTTCTTCATATGTGATTCTTAGTGTCGTCTAAGATTAGTCGATGATATTCTTGGTCATATTGTTTCAAACCTAAAACAAACTCTTTCTTCTTCTTTTTTTGGGTAGTAAAATTCCGGAGTTTTGAACCTTTGTGTTCTACACATTATTATTAGATGTTAATCATATATTGTTTTCTCTTCTTATTAACCTGATGGCCATCATTAACCTAATTACAACTAGCAATTATGACCCAAAACAAAACAGAAAATGTTTAAATACGATCCAAAAAAACTGAATGTATTAAAGATAATTATCATAATGTGTTGCTTCTACGATATACATTATTTATATTATCCATAGACAGCAAAATTTAGTTAGTTACATTCATATCTATAACATCTTGAGTTTACGAAGAGCACGTGTTGGATTTCGACGTTGACTTGAATGACAAGGCATTGCCAAAAGAGAAAAGAAGAAGAAGTAAAGGTATTAGGAGCCACCACGTTATCTCCTTACGACGGATAATTCAAAACAATTAGCTGGTATAACAACAATACAAATATACACAAAATACTTTTTCGATATTTTTGGTAAAGAGAAGAAAATAATCAATTTTTCAACAAAATACGTGTAATGTGTTGCAATTTGCAAATTGTAATGATCAATTTTCAACCTAATATTTTTGTTGGCAATTTTGTCTTTTTCCTCGATAGTGAATACAGATGTAGCGTGGGCTTTCACGCGTCGGATGATAGCTCGTAAAGTAATGTATTCACATTAGAAGGTATGTTATGTTATTAACTAATCAAAAATAGATACAAACAAAATTTTGTGATTCTCTTTAGCAATCTTATACCCTTCTTATGTAACATAATAATCAGAATCTAAAATAGCACTTTTACATGTATGAATTAGGAACGTAATCATCAGTTAAGATACTTAATTTAAGAGAGATTAATGTGGAAAGAAAATGAATGTGAACGCACAATACAAACAGATCACGTGGACAGCTCTTAGGACTTCACTTTCAGACACAATTCACTAAGATACGCCCAAAAAAAACAGTCACATATTCGATAATTTTAGAAGAAAATTCAAAAGCAAAAAAAAAATAAACTGTTTCCAACCAATATTCATTTTCTGTTTTGGTGGTCAAAAGTCGGAAAGTCAAAACCAATATTCACTAGAAACGGAAAGATAATAGAAAAGTTTACCATATGAATATAGAAACGATTTAGTGGGATATCAGTTTGTTTTAAGGTTAAATGCAATTCTGCGAGCTAGTACTGATAAATATCAGAGTTAAGTTACGTATTTTAAATTCATAGTTATTGACCTTTGACTCCCAAACCTTATCGAACTTGGAAATTTGGATAGAAAAATACGTCACAAACTTTATCGAAATTTTGTATTCCGAAATGATTATTATACCACTTTAATGTCTCAACGATTAAATTTGTAATTTATTTATATAGTAGTACATAAAATATGGATCTTAGATCTCTTCTATACGACGTCGACTTCAACGGATCTATTTATTTTCTTTTTCATTGCTCACTGAGTTCTTTTATAAGGGTTTCATGAGCTTTAGCCTTTAGGAAATACCTTGTTGAAACACACGTTTTTTCATTTTTAGTCAACCAAAAACCATACATTATGGCCCATGGCCTTAAGAAGATAAACAGATAACTATATAAAAAGCATAAACAATTTTAAAGAAATAAGAGTAAAACCGATTTAGAAAGAAATGCAAAATATTTGATTAGATTAGTCAAAAGACTCAAAACCCTTAACGAGTCATAAAGCACTTCGCTAGTTGCTACCGTCCAAATAATGTTTAAAAGATGGCTCTCACACGTGGCAATTAATGAGTTTATTACAGCTGCCAAGATGCAACTCAGAATAATAAATTATAATAATCCTTTAGTTGCATTGCACGCTACAATCTTTCGGCGCGATTTATCAAAATTCTAATCAATGCGTGAAATATGTAAGATATAAACTATGGTATGGTACGATCCTACCTTTATTAACAATAGCAACAAGTATTTACTAACCTTTTAATATTTGTGGTCGATTATAGGGTGATCGATTTATCTCATGCTTTGAAAATGTCCCTCGACTAACGATAAAACACATGTAGATGAAAGAAAAAAATGATAAAACACACGTCTAAGAAAACGAACGAATAATATATTCTTGGTGAGATAAAAGAGCGCACCCACCACATCAGTTTATTATTTCTGGTCAACGGATCAACGCCCATCACATAAGTAATGCATTAATCTCGGTAATACTAGTAATAATAAATTAATAACAGTGGTATTAATACACTAATTTTCATGATTTATGTGCAAACATATACTCCCACGTGCGTCAACACGTGCTCCGTGACCCTAGATCACTTTGTCGACAGCTTTCTCGTATTCCTAATTTCTCTGTTCAGCTTATTCAGATAAACATACATCCTCTTACCCGTACAGTTTTTAACTGAAATGCTATGTTCGAAAAACAGAAAAAGGTATTATATTCCAATAAAAAGTACTATTATTCCTAAATAATATTTTGTGGAAATGCGTATATATATGTACTTTATTTGTCCTCCAATACATTTCCCACTAAATTATATTCCATTGACACAATTCAAACCAAATTCATATATCTGCCCTAGGATAATTTCTGTACTGTTCAAGTTTTTAATAGTGTATAGTTAAATTAGTTTAAATGTTTTGTTTTTACATAATAGGACAATTGAAATCGTTCGAGGGAGTAAATATTGATATATTTTTTTTTTGGTGTAAGATAGAATTTTAATTATAGTACATGGTCACGTAAAATGTACATAGTTTTTTTTTTAATAAGGAGACTTTTGTTAGTTAATTTAATAATAAAACAAAATTTACAATGACATGTATATTGAAACTTAGCTAAACAATAAAACTAAAATTAATTGTACATAGAAATGGTTTGTTTTTTTAAAAATCGTAAAGTTGATTTTTTTTTGTGACGTACTACATTTGTATAAAAACAAAGGAAAAAAACTATGACGTACATAAAGTTTACTACAAAGCAATTTAACTTCCTTTGACCAGTGGAAAAAAATAAACAGGTAAAGTACTGAAACTTTTTAAAACATTTATAAACTTCAAAACACTAGAAAACAAAACAAAACTAGAAACAGTTTTGAATTTCTTGATTTTTTAATACGTTATTTAGACTAAAAATTTTCCTTTTATGAAAATCTTATCTGAATAATTTGGACTACGAACGTCATGTAGAAAGAGAAAACCTCTAAATAATATTTAATTTTAATTGATTAATTAGCTAATTTAGCTTAAACCCAAGAAAAAAAAGTAAACAAAAGAATAAAACAGAGGAAAGAGAGATAGAGAGTTAAACTTTGAGGCCTGAGGAAACTCATTACGCTTCACTCCGATTCGCAGAGAGTTTCCAAGAGACGACAATTCAAAACTTTCTTTTATCTTTTTTTTTTTTTCTTATTTCGTTAATCCAAATCCGTAAGTACTTTCTTCTTCTTATTATTATATAATCTCTACTAATCCTCTTCGTTGTTAAAGATTCTCCATTTTTCTCTCCTCCTTCTTCTCCATTGAAAGGAATCATATTCAGATCAGTGATTCGTTTTTTATTTCTTCTGGGTTTTCATTTTTTGTTTTCGGGTCAAATTTGGTCTTTGAATTTGGAATCTGAAGATCTGACTTTTGAAGCTAGAATTTGGGTTTTAATGTTTCAATAAAGAAACAATTTTTGTTGTTGTTGTTGTTGTGAATCCATTTTTTTATCAATCGATATTTGGATGATCTATCTGAAAATGAGAATGCTCTGAATCGTCTTTTTTTTTTTGGGATTTCTCAGAAATTCTCTCTCTTTTTTTTTTTTTCACTTTGCATTCGTGTTTGGTCTCTCGATCTTAGATTTCTCTAACATCGGAAATCTGTACGGAGAAGATGGTGGAAGATCGGACGTATTTGATATCAAGGGTTTTCTCAAGTTCTCGTCTTTCAGAATCAAAGTGGCCTTACATGTATCCAGTAGCAGAAGATTCCTCTGAAACTAAGCTCAGCAATGGCAAAAGATCATTGGATGATGTTGATGAGCTCAAAGACGAGCTAAGACAGAGCAAGTCTCTCAGATTGATGGGATTTTCAATTCAAGGGAATGAAGCTATTGAAGAAGAAGAACAAGACCAATCTGATTCTAACAACAATACTGATGGCGATTCACTTATCAATGATATTGGCAGGGACAATTCGATCAGCTGTTTGATCCGTTGTTCGAGGTCTGATTACGGCTCCGTTGCTTCTTTAAACCGGAGTTTTCGGTCTCTGGTGAAGACCGGAGAGATTTATAGACTCAGGAGGCAAAACCAGGTTGTTGAACATTGGGTTTACTTCTCTTGCCAGCTCTTGGAATGGGTTGCTTTCAACCCTGTTGAAAGAAGATGGATGAATTTGCCTACAATGCCTTCAGGTGTTACATTCATGTGTGCTGATAAAGAATCGCTCGCTGTTGGTACGGATTTGCTTGTTTTAGGCAAAGATGACTACTCTTCTCATGTTATATACAGATACAGTTTTTTGACTAACTCTTGGTCTTCCGGTACGAGGATGAATTCTCCGAGGTGTTTGTTTGGCTCAGCAAGTCTAGGAGAGATTGCGATCTTCGCTGGTGGTTTTGATTCTCTTGGCAAAATCAGTGATTCCGCTGAGATGTATAATTCTGAGCTTCAGACTTGGACTACACTTCCGAAGATGAACAAACCGAGGAAGATGTGTTCGGGTGTTTTCATGGATGGGAAGTTTTATGTCATTGGAGGAATTGGAGGAAGTGACTCGAAAGTGCTTACTTGCGGTGAGGAGTTTGATTTAGAGACGAAGAAATGGACTGAGATCCCGCAAATGTCGCCTCCAAGGAGCCGAGAAATGCCAGCAGCAGCAGAGGCGCCACCTCTTGTTGCGGTTGTGAATAATCAATTGTATGCCGCGGATCATGCTGATATGGAAGTTAGGAAGTATGATAAGGAGAGTAAGAAATGGTTTACTTTAGGGCGATTGCCGGAAAGAGCTGGCTCGGTTAACGGTTGGGGATTAGCGTTTAGAGCTTGCGGTGAGCGGTTAATTGTGATTGGTGGTCCTAGAAGTTCAGGTGGAGGGTACATTGAGCTGAATTCCTGGATACCATCTAGTGATCGAAGTCCGCCTCTATGGACATTGCTCGGTAGGAAACATTCATCGAATTTCGTATACAACTGCGCGGTGATGGGTTGCTGATAAAGGGTTTCAACAATAATTTTCAGATGATTTTTAAGATTCTCCTGCCGTTGGAGATGTCGAAAGTTGCAGTCTTTTTCTTATTTATTTTGGTTACAAAAAGAAATTTATTTTCAATTCAATTGGATACAATCATCTTGGTGGTATTGTTAGATTCTTGGAAAGAACAGAAACAGGTTTTGTAATAAGTTTGGTGGAGAAAGTTCAGAATCTAGAGTTTTGCTGTTCTGTTGTAAGTTGTTGAATTTTGTTTTCTAAATATAATGATTTTTTTTCTTCATTTGTCGTAATGTTTATATATATATATATCATTCGTTTTTTCACAAAGAGAATATATTATCTGTGTTTCGTGTGTTCTCCTCTCTGTTCAGAAAAGAGAAGAAGAAAAAGAGCTTTTGATCTTATAGTTGTTGTTTGCAAGATAACCTGATCTTTTGCTTGCAAGTAATACCATAAACCTTTTCAATTTGTCTCCCTTTTAATTTGCTCTGTGTTTAGGGATTTTGGTTCTTTCTTCAGAAAATGGTTGCAATAAATTCTTCGAAAAGTAAAAAACAAAGATGGATTTAGACATGAAAATGGCAGTTTGAATCTGATTTTGACGTGTAGGTCTCTGTCATTTTCTTTTGGATCTCTCAGCCTTGTATGATTCATGAGATATTTAGATCGTAAATATTAAAAAGGACAACCACCTAACAACATTGGCTAGCTATGCTAATTTCAAATCTATTACCTTTTATTTTATATACTTAATAAAGAGATATCAAAAGGAAAATGTATACGAATGATCCAATGACTTGTCTCTATTTAAAACTTCAATGATTTCGCAATCAGATTTCAAGTTAAAGCAAAAGGCCAACGATAAAAATTGCAAAGGAAAGGTATATGGCCAACAACGAAGGAACAATATCATTTCAAAGCTTAAACAAAAGAGTCACAAAAGATTCAGAATACTGATTGTGTCCAACTAAAAACTTAAAAAACCACTGAGATAACGATAAGGAAAAAGTTTCAGAATGATTATAATTCCTCTTCACCGGAATGAGAAAGGACTTCAGTTCTGATACTCTTCAGTAGTGGGCTGGCAAAAAGGCACTCCCCGGCTGACGGTTAGCCAAAGGTCCATGACAGGAGAGGAACTGCAAAAGAAACCAAAACATTGTTCAATTTAACAATCAAAAGATGATTTCAATGATAACTATCACCGCTATAGAATTTTGATGCAAAATCAATCAATAATACCTTAGCGTTGACACCATCAGGAACAACACGCTTCTCTTGCCTCAACTTGGTGAAGTCAGCTCTGTTAAACTTCGTGAAACCCCTGAAAAAACAAAAGTCACAGAGTTAGCTAGCTTGTTGCCATAAAACAAATCAAACAACAACATGATTCAAGGATGAATCTTAAAACACACCATTTCCTGCTGACAATAATCTTTTGACGACCAGGGAACTTGAACTTAGCACGACGAAGAGCCTCCTGAGCATGGTGACCATGAGCATCCTTGCAACGAACAGACAAAAGAACCTGTCCAATAGCAACACGAGCACAAGTACCCAAAGCTTTACCAAAAGCACCTCTCATACCAGTCTGAAGCCTATCAGCTCCAGCACAGGAAAGCATCTTGTTAATCCTGAGAACATGGAAAGGATGAACCCTAATCCTCAAATGAAAAGCATCTTTCCCTGCAGATTTCACCATATACTTGTTGCAAGCAATACGTGCTGCTTCAAGTGCTTCACTTGACACATTCTCCTTCTCCCATGATACCAAATGGACACAGAATGGGAACTCATCAACACCTTTCCTCTTCATTCCAACATCGTAGATCCTGATTTTCGGATCTGGCACACCACGACAGTAGCGAGATTTTGGGTATGGCTTACCCTTGATCTGACGGTAACACCTCGCAGGTCCTACAACAAGATCCAGATTTTAGCTCTAAGACCAAACTCATATAGCTCAAAATCATTCACAGATCAAAAATCAATCATTTCATATCTAAAGAGAGCTATAAACCTAATTCTTCATCCGATGAATAGAAAAATGAATCGCAGAATCTCAAAATCGCAACAAAGAGGGAGCATTTGGTTAACTAAATCCATGGAGGAATCGGAAGAACACAGAAACCCTAACAGAGAATCCATAACAGATCGAGAGAAACTTACTTCTTCCCATGGCGTCTCTCTTTTTCCTTCCTCAGCCAAAAAGCGCGGCTGCTCGACGAAAAAACAGATAACCTAGAAAATGACTTCAATTTATAGATCCGAAATTTTCTAGGTCAACAAATAGCTGGGGTTTTAAGTGATGGGCCTTAAATAAAGCCCATTATATATTAAATAGATTTGTTAGGGCCCTATCGGTTGTATAGGGTTACGCTTTTTCTGTCTTCCTCCTCAAGGAAATCAAAAACTTTGGAGTACACAAATAAGCATATCGTTTCGTGTTATCCATCACTCAGAAAAAAAATCCCCTTGGAGACAGAGAAATAATGGAATTGCTTCCCCACGACACCGTAGAGAAAATCCTCGAGAGGGTTCCGGTGAAATCTCTGATCAGATTCAAGTCTGTTTCCAAACAATGGAAGTTGACAATCGAATCTCAATATTTTCAGGAGAAACAGTTGATCTTCTAAGCTGGCGGGAGAGATCTAAATCTTGTATTGGTGTCTACAGAAATAAGGACGTTGGTGTTGCCCCATCATGTTACTGCTGATTCTCCTCCACTTAAAACTAACGTGTTGTTGAAGTCATCAGAACGATATCAGTTTTACTCACTTTGTCACAACAGTTGTGACGGTCTTGTTTGCCTCTATGATTACCACAACTTAAACATTGTTTTTAATCCCGCCACTCGATGGCATCGACGTTTCCCTGTTTCCAGGTTGCAACAACTCTGTCTAGAGAACCCTAGTAGAAGAGATATTCGTCACGTTAACTTTGGATGTGGCAAAGACAAAATCAGTGGCATATACAAACCGGTTAGGTTATGTAACTCTTCCGAACTTGGCCTGGAAAACGCTACTACATGTGAAGTTTTTGATTTTAGCACCAACACTTGGAGGTATATGATATATCAATCCTTCTTCTCCTTATCGGATTAATGCTTCCTCGTTTCGGTGGCATGCTCTGTATTTAGATGGATCGCTTTATTGGTTAACCGGGGAGAAAGAAATAAAAGTTTTATCGTTAGATCTCCAAACCGAAACATTTCAAGTTATCTCTAAAGCTCCTTTTGCGGAAGCAGATCCTAGAAACATCATCACATGCAGCCTGGATAACCGTTTGTGCGTATCCGTTTATAAACCTCCCCAACAAGTGATATATAATATGGTCGTTCAATTCAGAGAACAAGACTTGGGAACAAATATATTCGCTAGTGAATCGTAAGATTATGCGATCCTTACCACTAGCAATTTTGGAGAAGAATAAGCTCCATTTTGCAGCTTTTTCATTATAAATGAACTTTCAAAAAAGACAGATTACAGTGTTGATTAGATTTTGCAGGGTCGGAAAAAATGTTGCAGAACAAAATCTTTGAAGCTTAGATTTCTGAAACCAAGATCCGCTCTTGTATGTCTGAAAATGTCTGCACATCTTTTCCCCACAACCTATTTTCCAAAGAAAACAGATAAACAAGAAGCAGTATGTGTCATGATGGATTTTGATCACTGAGAATTTCCACAAACCCGAAAAAAAGAAGTAACAAAGTATATGCGGCGCACCAGCAAGCAATACCCATGGCGTTTGCTCCGCCTTTATCTGCTCCTTCATCATCTCCGACATGCACAGCTCTGTTTACTTCTACGCTGATTTGTTCTGCGCTTGACACAAAATCTTTAACTCTGAAACCTTTCGTAGAATTTAAAGGAAACAACACTTCAGTTTTAGGATGCAATACGCCAATACCTAATGCAGATTTGAAGATTCGTTCATCAGGCTTCTCGTATCCGACTTCTGCGGATACAATCACAGCATCGAACCTGCAAAAGAGCAAGCATTATACATGACTACCATTTATGGTGTTAACTTTATCACTCAGATTTCAGGTTTAAATAATGACAAAGCTTACATATCTATGACATTAAGATCCTTCAATAGCTTTCTTAGCCGGGTATCGAAATTAGACACAACAGCCATCTTAACTGCAATTATCTAACACCAATTTTAGAAATCAGCAATAACGAATACAAAAAGTAATCTAAGTAAACAAGGAGAGTAATAATAACCTCCAGCATCTTTCAGTAGAGACATTGTCTCATAAGCTCCTTCTGGGAGATGCCACGCCTCGCCATTCGCGTAATACTAAGAGATAAAACAGAAGATTAACCCGTCTTTAAGGCATTAATGTTATGGAACCTAAAAACTCCTTAAAAGCCTCAAGAAAACGGTCTTTCATTCGATACTCACTTGGTAGACTTCTTCGAAGTAGTCATTATCAGAACAACCAGTAGCTTCCGAAACAACGAGCTTCCAGAATGGTCTTCCATCTCCCTAACAATACAATGAAAGATTGTCTTAATACATTTGCTTACAGTAACGAGCAAAGATAGAATCTGTTACAAAGAGAGATTCACTCATTCAATTAGGGGACCTGGTAACGTAACTTCTCAGGCCAAGGAGCAGAAAAAGCTCTCTTGAAACCTTGCTTGATCTCAGCTGGAGTTGTCTTGAGACCTGAACTAGAATCAAAAAAACAACTTGAGAACATCTGAAATTGGTTATTGAACGGATCAAAGAGTATAAGATAAAGAAAGTGACCATATTTCTGGCCCAAGGAAGCGTAGGTTTCATGAACAGGTTTCGACAATTGCAAAAGAGTTCCTCCAGCATCAAGCAACAATCCATCATAAGCTCTCTTTATCGGCTTGCCTTCATAAAAGACCCAATAATTGAAAGATTACTCAATTTCAGATTAACTTGAATCAAAAATGCATCTCATAGAATCTAATTCAATTTCTCCATTTTAACTGAGAAACAGAGAAGGATTAGAAAGTAACCGGTGCTGAAAGAGACAGAAGAAGAAGACCGGAGAGAGCTGGAGAGTGGTCTCAAGGCTTCAATTAGATAGCTTCCTCGTGAACATCTCAAACAAGCTTCCATCTTTGTCAAATCCGAAATGTCCAAGATTGACAAATTTCTGTCTCTGTAAGAACTGGTTTGAATTTAGGTAAAATTGCAAAACAAACCTCAAACTAACTAAACTTTACAAATTAACCCAAACTTAATTTGCTTGCAATTTTTTCTTTTCTGAATTTGTGTTCTTAAAACCTTCTGGTTGGTATAGAGTGTTTGGTTCTGTTCTGCAACAAAAAAACCCTGAGGAGGATTGTTCGTGTTCGCCGGCGGTGACATTTGCGCGCAGAAACGTTGAGACACTCTCTACGGCGAATTATTCCTCGGAGATATGGCGACGGAGCTGGAAGAGCTTGTAGAATTTTTGTCATCTCCTTCACCGCCTGTAAGCTTTTTTTACATTTGGTTTCATCTGTTTCTGAGCTGTGGGGATGCATTGATAATTTTAGATTCTAGGGTTTTTGTTGTGACCGATGATTCTGATTGAATGAAGAAACAAAACATGTAGGTGAAGAAAGCTGCGGTGGAAATTGTTAGTGGATTAACTGGTTCCGAGGAAGGTTTACAATCTCTATCCAAGTATTCCGAGATTCTTCTTCCATCACTGTCTCGTCTTCTAAATGAAAGCAAGGTTCATTGAGTCAAACTCTAAAGAAGCACTGATTGTTATCTGGATTTGGATTGGTATTGATAGAGATTGAATAGTTGTTTTTGAATTCAATTTTGCAGGAGGTATCAGAGCCAGCAGCTCAAGCTCTTGTAAATCTTTCTCAGAACTCTGAATTGGCTAGGAAGATGATTCAAATGGGTTTGATCAAAGTGGCCATGGACATGTTGTATAAGCCAGAGTCTTGTATTACCAGATTGCTTGTTATGCTTCTGGTTAATCTTACTCAGTTGGATGATGGGGTTTCTTCTTTGCTTCAGGTCGTTTATCATAAGTTCAATTTGTGCAATGGAGAGTGGGGAGTGTATTTTGGTAGTCTAATGGTGACGTTGCTAATCGTGTAAAACTTTATGCCTTTGTTAGATTGACGATGAGAAGATGCATGGACTACATATCATGAAGCTTGTTAGGTCATTTTGCAGGTCTTCTGGCGAAACTACTGGTATGTTCTTGCCACTTTAGTCTTTAATTGTTATATAATTTGTCCAAGTATATATCTCTACTTCTAGATACGATAGTCTGGAATTTCCTTTTCCTATATCATGTTTTTGTTTCATATATCTAATCCTCGGTAGGACTTGAAGGTCTAGAATTTTAATGGTTGTACCATTTATATTCTGGTTCTTACTCTTCTATGTTTCCATTTGGACCATTGAAATGAGTTTCCACAATTCAAGGAAAGATTATACGAAGTTGCTTACTAGTAGTTTTTAGTTTGCAATCAAGTTCCATTGCTACTGTTGTATAAAAAGAGGAATGGATTACTGATTATTGTTCTTATTTGTGCACCAGATGATCAGTTTGAGCATGTTGGCTCAATCCTTGTCAACATATCAAAAACAGAAGATGGGAGGAAATTGTTACTGGAGCCAAAGAGAGGACTACTAAAACAGATTATTAGGCAGTTTGATTCAACAAATCAATTGCGAAAGAAAGGGGTACGTATAAAAGAGTTTGGCAGATTACTCTTTAATGAACCTGGTGCTTAATCTACCCTTTGAACAATCTAACATGGAATATGCTTATCGGCTTTCAGGTTGCTGGGACTATTCGTAACTGCTGTTTTGAAGCCAAAAACCAACTCCAGAATATACTCTTGATATCAGAGTTTCTCTGGCCTGCTCTGCTCCTACCAGTTGCAGGCAGCAAGGTTTGTTATTGTTCTTGCTTTATAGCTGTGACGCTGTTGCTTAAAAAGGTTTTCTTCTTATATGAGAAAACAGTTTTTGATTATTGGGTTTTACTTTCATTAGACATACAGTGAGCAAGATATCGCAAAAATGCCACCTGAGCTTGGAAGTGCACTTTCCATTGAGCGAGAACCAGTTACTGATCCTGACATTCGCGTTCAGACTCTCGAAGCTATATATTTGATCATCTTAGAGGTATAACATTTATATATCTCGCTTTCCCTTCTTGTGAACTCTTGTGAAGGACCCATCAAACCCAAAACTTACAAAAGGTCCTCTGATATGTCAAAACTACTTTTGATGTTGCAGGAGGCAGGTCGAAGGGCATTTTGGTCAGTCAACGGGCCACGGATTCTACAAGTGGGATACGAATATGAGGAAGATCCAAAAGCAATGAGAGCCTATGAGCAAGTCGGTTCTTTGGTATGTTCACTCCCTCTAATGTCACTCACGCACTGACTCTACACGACTAAAGATAGCAACACTAATAAACATTGTTCGATGTGCCGTTTTAAACCAGCTTGTTGAAGAAGCTGGAGGCCCGGAAGAATCGTTGGAGCCGATAAAAGCAGAGTCTTGAAGTACATTATTTGTTGTCCTCGGGCTCTAGTCCCCATTTTTGCTGGCCCTCCCAAAGGAAGTTACTTGTCCTGTTTCGTTCTTCTCTCATTTCTATGAAAGAGGTACTACTACATCTTGTGCGCTACTGCCTACTAGTTGTAACACTAGATTCGTTATTTACTTGTGGCGATCTTATTAGTGTTCCATTTTCTATTTTTTTGGTGTAACCTTATTTCATATATGAGACATTGTTGTATGTTATCTTCCTACAACTATTTGTTTGTGGTATTATCTTACACACATTTGGCTAATTCCCTAATTGTTTTGAATCTGGATCTGAAATCAAACAGATAAGGTCTAATGAATCTACTTAAGAATATAGATTTTTGACATATCTTATAGAAATACCAATTGAATAAACAATAAACACAAAATTATTGCCACCCTCACAAGGTAGCCACCAAATGTGTCCACAATTGTACAGATAAGAGAACAGAGAGGCAAAATCAAATCAATGATTTTGTTCTTTAGACTTTTATCTTTCTTTGGCATGTGTTTTTTTTTTTTTTTTTTCGTCTGAATGATTCCATTATATTATACGAGGGTAGAATACGGTTTTGAAATACAAAACCGACAAGAGTCGAAACTCTTTCGGAAACTAAGCCGGCGGAAGACATAAATATCCCCGGGAAACTAAGGCCAAAAGAAGGAAGCAAACTAAACAAAAAGGTACAAGAAGGTAAACTCAAAAGGAACCAAAGAACTAAAACTGAGACTCGAAACCATCATAACCCGCAAACAATCCCAGAGAAACGGTTGGCGTCGGAGTTGAAACCAAGAAACATGAGCCTCAAGAAGAACCAACCAAACATGCAAACTCCAATAGACCAGAGATCCCGAAGAAGAACGAATATGAAAGCTCAACCAGCAACAATCCGACATAACAGAGAGCGAGATCAATCCGAAAAATGAGCACAACAACAAACACCATCATGCCATCTCCACCATGGAAATGAGCTCGAGCGAAACCAGGCACAAAGAACCTTTGAAAAACGGCTGGGGATAAGTCAAAGAGGAGCACCAACTCTTACAATCAAAGCCACCTACAAACCTGAACCGGTCACGACCTCGCAAGAGAAGAACTAGTGAACGAAACCACTGCTGCGCTTAGAACCCAACAACGAAAACCGAAGACGGCTTCATAAAAGACCTAGTAGATGCACCTGCAACGATGTACCATCCGAGAGACAAACCCCAAACACGAACCTAGCCCACCAGAACCCACACACAAACGAGAAGAAGCAAACGGCGAAGAAGAACTAGGAACCCAAAGCAGAGTTAAAGCAAGCAAAGTACTAATCCGGAAAGCACAGCAAAGCCATACAATAAGCTGTAGAGTTAGAACCCAAAAAAAGCAAAACTTAATCTCTGCCCAAGCCTAAAGCACCAACTAAACCTTCAACACAAACTTTGGCATGTGTTCTAATCATAGATATTACTTAATTAGCACACATTAAAATTTAAACCAGTTGGCGCCTCGACCATTCCTTTAAAGCCACGTGGAAAATTCCGAATTGTTGGGTCCCACCTGATAAATCATGTTAGATCTCTTCTTCGTTTCATCTCCTCCTCTGCGTCTTCTTCTTCTCGACGACGAGAGAAAGAGAGAGAGGGAGAGAAAACACCGAAGCGACGAAGAAGAAGATTCTAATCTAATCTCGAGTTGTTGGGGGAGATTAATTAGACTTAAAGAAATGATGAGTTTCGCGATTTCCGATGAATTTCTGGGGACATTCGTGCCGATTCTGGTGTATTGGGTGTATTCAGGGATGTACATTTGCTTAGGATCTTTGGATAAATATAGATTGCATTCGAAGATAGATGAGGATGAGAAGAATCTCGTTACCAAATCCGCCGTCGTCAAGGGCGTTCTTCTTCAACAGACTCTTCAGGCTATTATCTCCGTTATTCTCTTCAAGGTTTCAGTCCCTCTCTCTATCTCTCTCCCTTCATTGTGGCAGATCTGTGAATTTATAGGATTTTGGTTGTGGATTATGCTAATGTTGTCCTCCTTGTGCCTCTTGTTAATCTACTGTTTTGGTTAGTGAACATAGATCGATGACAATGAGTTAGGGGTTTTCTGATTTTAAATCACCTTCTGTTGTCTTGAAGCTGTTGAATCAACAAGGTTACAGATTTAGGATGCAATAAGAATAATAATTTAGATTCTGGAGATTGTCTGATGAATTAAAACTTGGATCTCCTGTTTCTTGCTGTTTTATATAGAGAATTTGTTAAACTCTTATGTTCCAAGGAGATAGATATTTAGAATGTTTCACTTGAGATTCTCAAACATAAGGCGTTTACTTTACAAAAGCTTATACGTCTAGCGTTGTGATTTCCTTGTCTAACAGCTGAATAGTGCTTAGAGGAATGCAACCTTTATCCTTCATCATTCACATGTGCAAGTTTTTTTTTCTCTTGCATTGGAGACCTTTAGCCTTGGACTTTCTCACTATCCTTGTGTTTCAGAGTCATGAGCTTATGATGTTTCTCTGTATTGGAAGAAATTTATTGAGGTTTATAGTTCTCATGTTGTGTTACACTCTGGATTTGTTTTTGGTTGAGCTTCATATATTAGCATCATGGAGCATTCGTTTCTTGTTTACCTGAAATTTTGTTTTTTGTTTTCTTTAGATAACAGGAAGTGATGCAGATGCTGCTACGACACAGCAATTTTCCATTCTACTTCTGGCTAGGCAGTTTATCATCGCTATGCTTGTAATTGACACTTGGCAATACTTCATTCATCGATATATGCACCTCAACAAGTTCTTATACAAGCATATCCACTCTCAGCATCATCGCCTTGTCGTGCCTTATTCGTATGGAGCTCTATACAACCATCCACTAGAAGGTCTTCTTTTGGACACTATTGGTGGTGCTTTGTCTTTCCTCTTCTCTGGTATGTCCCCAAGAACAGCCATCTTTTTCTTCTCCTTCGCTACCATCAAAACAGTAGATGATCATTGTGGACTATGGCTTCCGGGAAATCCATTTCACATCTTCTTCAGTAATAATTCTGCTTACCATGATGTTCACCACCAACTCTATGGAACCAAATACAACTTCTCGCAGCCATTCTTTGTTCTGTGGGATAGGATTCTCGGTACTTACTTGCCTTATTCACTTGAGAAAAGAGCCAATGGAGGATTTGAAACACGGCCAATCAAAGTATCCAAAGATGAGTAATTTCTCTTTCTTTCTCTTGGGGGCTTTTTGTCACTGCTAAGTCATCATTTGCTCGTTAGAGAACCACTGTAACCTTTGCGTACTTGTAACTGTACATACAATTCCAATCTATCCTTTTTCGATCTGCAGGCAGACGTTTCTGTGTAAGCCAGCAGTAAATTCATTTTGTAATAGCCAAAACTTCAGATCTTCTCTGTTGTTATTATCTGCTTTATAATTCCAGGTTTTGAGACCTGTGAGAGTCTCATCGATCTCCTTCACAGAGTTATTGATTCTTTCTTTTACGCAAAGGGCTTCTTGCTTTCGTTGTTCTTATCCTCTCTAGGCATGGCAGCAACTGAGTAGTTTTTCTCTATGTAGTTAGTTTCATAGGCTAATTAAAGTGATTGGTCAATTATTGAAAAAGTAGACCTTTGAAAATGATACAATACTTATCTTCAAGATTCATTTATATTTTGGGACAAGGTTGATGTTTTCTTGACAAGATCTAATTTCATCTGTTTCTGAAATCTGATATGCCATTTAAGTACCTTACTGGATTCAGTGTATTGGGTTTAATATCAAAAGGTTGTTTCTTGATTAGATCCAGCTGGTAAGATCTGGATCTTGAGTTAGAACTTTAAACTGTATTACAACCAATCTTTTTCCCAAAACCTAACATTCCTCCTGAGTTGGTTACAGAGACATATCATCATCAATGGCACAATTAAGGTTTTGTCTACGTCTACTTTATCTCATTATCATCACATGGTCTTGACTCTTGAGATGAGTTCTGGACCAGAAGATTGGACCAGAAGATTCTGGATTGGCTTTTAAGACATGTTAGGTGAATGGACCCTATCATTGTTTGATTGAGTTTCCTCATTAAAGGCTCTTTTAGGCAACTCGTACGGACTTTGATTAAACGGTTAAATCTAAGCCTAATGAGGTATCTTTCTATTCTTGAGACAAGCACATGCAAATGAGGTGGACCAATTGTGTTTTGTGTCTAGTCTACGTGCTGCATTTAAATATGTCTCCTAAGTCAACAAAAGGTTACAATCACATCTTTAAGTATCACATGGAATTGCAGTCTTGGTTGTCTTATTTGTGGATTAGACCCAAGTGTCTATTGTTCACATGGTGCAGTTCCTAAAAATCTCAGGCGACGACAATAGATGAGTTCTTGGCATCACATTTCATCTTTACTCATTTGTGGTAAGCATAAGTTTTTTGAGGATTGATTGATGATAAAGATTGATTTGCACTTCTCTCTCGACATTCTTCCTTAATAAACCGTTAAATCAAATTGCTGTTTTCAGGTACAAGAATATGAAGATGGTATTAGCAAATCAAATATTTCCCACTTAAAAGTCATTACATGTAAAGCGAAAGGAGTTCGGGTTTTTGGCATCATTAAGTATACAAAAAAGGCGATTGCGTGTGAGAAACCGAACTACTGCTGATCCTCCTTCTTGTTTCAATGCTTGTTGGATTAGCTTCTACGGGGAATCTTGGAACATAACTCGGTGTTCTGTTCATGCTTGTGTATGAATCACCAGAAACTCTGACAGATTTATGACTCTTGCACCCCATTAATAAACCGCCACTGCTCGATTTCCGTCTCTGAGGCGCAGTTTCTCGGTTTGATTTCGCCATGATAGGGATTCGAGGAATCGGAAAAGACCGATTCTTTTTGACAGGACTCGTTGCACATTCAGACATAACAGAGAAATCCGCTACACTTGCCGTTACTACACTCCACTGTATGCTTACCTCACTTGGTGCATAACCATTGGGTGAGTCTGGATCACTACTTCCTTGCCTTGCAAGAAAGGGCTTTGCCTTCCCTGTTAAGCTCTCAATCTCAAAAAGATCGGTACTTACATCGCTCACACTCCCATCTTCTTCTTCTTCATGCTTCACAGAGAATCCATGTTCCTCTTTTTTCACAGAGCTAGAGTATTCCCATGGGAATTTCTTCTGAATGATTCTCTTCTCAATAAGAGGAGATCCAAATATTTCCAGAGACTTCCTCTGCTCTAACATTGCTTCTTGTTGTTGTTGATGAATTTTCATCTCCGAGCTTAGATCTCCAGAGAAACTCAATTGAGTCCTGATCTTCTTCAGACCAGAGGTTCTTCTCTTCTCATCGACAACATCTACTGAACTCCAGTTCGAACACACACATCTGCAGCCAAGAGTAGCGAGAAAACTCTTCTTATTACTCACCTTGTGATTGGTACTTATATCCTTCTCCTGAAAGTAACTGTTGCAGCTAGAGTTGTTCTTGATGTTCTTCTTCTTCTCCATATATTTGTTATGAAGCAACAAGCTCTGGCTATTCCAGCTGGATTCAGACCGAAGACTCGGAGTTTCCGAAGAATTCTTCGAGCTTTGCTTCGGAGGAACAAAGATTCTCTCTACTGGAACTTCTGGATCTGGCAGAGAAGACACAAGTCTAGGACTGTGGTCGGAATCCATATCTCCATTGAAGTACTTCTCAGCTCCAAACACACTGATCTCCAGATCTTCAGAAGCTTTCTTGTTAACTCCAAGAACATCTGGATTGATGTTCATATTGATACCACTCATTAGGTTCTTCTGAGTGAGAGTATCTTCCTTGCTTATCAAGTAAGAGAAAGAAGTAGAAGAAGAAGAGAAAGGACCATAGAGATTGTTACTGTTATTATTATTGTTCATCATGAAATCAAAAGATACGTTTGGAGTTGAAGAAGATGAAGTTAAGGTTACCATTTTCTCTTCTTTTTTGTATTACTATTTCTTGGGATGATTTAGATTTTGAGGAATATAAATAGAGGAAATGAGGAAGTTACTGGTTTTTTTTTTTTTTTTGAAGCTATGTGTCAATTGTTGAATGGGTGGGTTCCATCACTGGGACAAGATTGCCTATTTGCCAGTGATTCTGTGCTAATGTATCAAAAAAATATTAATTATATTTTGTCTTGGTTATAAGGAAAATGAATTTTATTAAATGAAAATAAAAATTAGTGGATATGATTCTCCTAAGGAACAAAATTACAAATTGGAAGACACGAGGGATGTACGTATTTTGTGCTATACTACTGTACTGACAAAGACCTTTCGTCGAGTTAGTTGGTCGTTGAAGGGATTTGGGCCTCTAGTGACATAAATGGGCCTTAGTGAAGAACGTTGTTTTAAGCAAGTCGGGTATATAAATAAGTCGGGTTTTTTTTTTCTACCCGCCCGTTTTAGTCGGACCTTATCCTCTTCCTCCTCAATCTGACAATCGTATTGCTTGTGTGGAAGTTCTCTAAGAAGAACAGAAAAATTCAAAATGGTTTCGCAGATAATTTCGTGTTTATCACAATCTCCGTCTCGTTTATGTTTCTCCGAGAGGCCAATTTTGCCGAATACTTATAACCGCAGCGGTTTAAGCCGGTTTTCTCCGGGATTTGCTAACCGCCGGTTATTTACGGTTAACCGGAAGAAATGGAGATCGGCGTGCATTTTCAACTCTGGAAAGGAACCTGGAGGAGAGGGAAAGGTTACTGTTTCTCTGACTCTACCTCAATTTTTCCGGTCTGAATTTTTCTGAGGCAGCTCTATGTCTTTTTGTTCAATTGAATCCAAATTCTATTGGATTTTGATAAAAGTTTAGGTTTTTAAGAGAAGATTTGAAGTTTTGATTTTTTTTTTTTTTTTAGTTACAAGGAGGTAGCTCAGAGTGGCCGATACTTCAGAGATGGGAAGTTCCATGGGGATGGCAGATAGTTTCGTTAACTTCGTTTGCTTGTGCATTAAGGTACTCTCATTAAAAGCTTGCCTTTGGATGAATTTAGGGTTAGATTTTGATGAAACATAGAATGTGTTTTAAGATAAATCTGATGGTTGAGTAGATTGATGTGAAAGATAATCTCTTTGTTATGGTTAAAATAGTTTAATGTTCAGTGACTATCCTCTGTATAAACAGATTTTTTTCTCAAGTTCTTCACTATTTTAATGTATGGAGTGAGAGTAATTTTGTTCCCAGGCAGTTTTGTTTTGACAGGATTAACCGAGATGGCAGTCATACCGTTTTTAGGAATCGACGTTGAGAAACTGACCTTGGACGATAAGGCGGAAATTTTGTTCCTAGATCAAGGGTACCAAAACTACTATTCTTTGTGTATTCTAGTTACATATCTCCAGTCTTAGCTCTTTTTACTTTGTTAATATAAACTGATCATAGAATCTCAGTGCTTTAGCTGATTTCACATCGTAAATATGGTTACCTCTCTTGAGGTTTTAAGTTATGGAAATGGCTTATGTTGAATAACATTGTCTAAATACTTGGCAGCCTAACAACTGCGGTGGTACTTGCTGTAATATTCACTGTTGCCAAAACCTTCGACCCTCTTCCTGAAGATATTCTTCGCTATGGTACTTTGCTTTTCGGTTTTTAGTGGCGGTGTCTTGCACTGTTTGCTCTTTTATTTGCATTTTACCTTTTGTTTGTTAAATCGTCAGATTTGAGACAACCCTTCAACCTGCAAAAAGGATGGCTCGTGTGGGGTGGAATCGGTCTGGTTGGTGCTGTTGGTGCAATTGCATTAACAGGTGTTGTTTTATCCGTGTTCAGGACAGAGGCACCGGAAAGGGAGGTTTGGAGAATTCAAACCATGCTTTGTTTTTGTTTTCTGAAATATTTGTTGGATAATAGTAATGAGGCCTAGTGTGATGTTTTCAGGTAGACTCTTTGATGAAGCTTCTCCCATTAATTGGATCCTCAAACATAAGGTATTCCGCAAAGAAATAGAAAATGTGATATGCATTAATACTAGAATTTGATCACATCCCATATAATTATTGTACAGCACCTTAAGCTTAGTGGGCATAACTGGAATCCTTGCTCCACTTCTGGAGGAGACCGTGTTTCGCGGATTCTTCATGGTCTCTCTTACCAAATGGTAAAACCTCTTGTCTTCTTCTCATTTTGTTCTGGATAAAAGCTTACTACATTGTGTTATGTTCTGCGTTCAGGGTCCCGACCCCAATAGCAATCATCATCAGCTCAGCTGCCTTTGCCCTTGCCCATCTCACGCCGGGTGAATTCCCACAGCTGTTTATTCTAGGTAAAAAACATAACTCAAAACAAAAGCATTAGCATCTTCTCATGGTTATAAACATCTCGGGATGAAAAATAAGTATCTTTCATTTTCCCATTCGGTTTAGGAAGTGTTTTGGGATTATCGTATGCACAAACCCGCAATCTCATTACCCCGATGGTCATACACGGTTTTTGGAACTCAGGAGTTATTTTGCTACTCACTTTTCTTCAGGTAAAAACTCATTCCTATGATCACTACAATGTTAAAAGGACCGATCAAATTATAACTATGTTTTTCTTTTCCTTTATTTTTTGGTAGATCCAAGGGTATGACATAAAGGAACTATTGCAGGCAAACTAGCTCTGAGCTTTTCTCTTTGTGCTGTCCGCATTTAACATCAAAAAGCTTCATTATGTGCTCGATTATGGTAAGATATTTTGTATTCGAGAAAATAATTCATACTTAATGCAATTTGGGTTTTGGTCGATTTATCTTTATGTGATACTTAACCTTATCATAACATCGTGACAGTAATGTATGTACTAAAATGGTAGAGATGAATCTTTTTGGAACAAAAAATAATAAATTCATTTATACACAGGTTACAAATTATGTGTCTCGTTTTTTTTTTCTTAAAAAAGTGAAATGCTCATCTCCCAAACGAGTGTTATTGAAAAACTTAATGCCACAGAATCAGAAACTTTTAATCTACATACACAAACTTTCTTAGAATCGAATACTTATAAGAAAAAACTCTGCACTAAGTTAGGACACTCCTTGTTTGTAAGAAAGCCGATTCAGAAGGACCATCATGTAGATCTTTTGATGGTCCTTGTTGATATCAAATCTTGATTAATAATTTCGCCACACATGATTCAATGATTTCATCAGAAAAGATAGTTTCAATAGCTCTGCAAGAAGTGACAAGAAGAGATTCTTCTTTCTACTTATTGCAAACCACTCTTATAACAGCAGTTCATGAATCATTTGCTGATGAAATCATTGAAAAGCATATACCTGAAGCTTTTGGTGTAGAACTATTATTAAATCACGGCTCCATTGACAAATAATTAATCACGGCTCTAGGTTGCCTTGAGCTGAGCACCAACGCAAACCGAGTGGCCAAAGCCGCTGCTTCCTGTCTTTGTCTACGGCGGTGCAGGATACTGATGGCTGATGCCATGATGTAGCAAGGAAGAAGAAAACTGGCAGCTCGGAGTAAGAAAAGCTGCAAAAAGATTTCAGATGATTTCGTCGTTAGGAGTTGGAACTTATACGAAACTTCCAGTATATGCTGGAAACAACAAAAAGAAGTGGTAACTCGATTTTAAACTTACAGAAAGTATTGAAGAAGGGTCATCTTCACCATCTGCATAATCTGGTATAGTTAGTGCATGTCGCAATAGAAGAAGAGTCATCAACTGCAAAAGAGAAGAGCAATGTTTCCGAGTTTTAGAATTTAGTAAAAAAATCGTGGAGTGGTTGAAACATGTTGAGAAGCTTTAGACTTACTATTAGAGCAGCTGAGCGGAAAAATGCAGCTCCATTGGTATCTGAAGCTGTAAAATCATCATACTCCGATTCTAAAATCTGACGTTCGGCTTCTGCTATTGCCAAGAGACGTGGATCATCTAAATCCAAACCTGAGATTCTCCATCCTCCACTACAAAAAGAGGAATAAGTCAGAACAATTACAAGTCATGAAACCAAACCTTAAAAGAGTATGACAGAATAATGAAATTGATCATACCCAATGTCAATAGTAGTTTCTTCTGATTGGGGTGGAGGTGGTGGTGAGGTATATCCAGCTTGGTATGGCTGTAATAAGAGGAAGTTAACTTGAGTTGAATTCTCAATCATCGAGTGAAAGTCTCAAGATAAACCTTATAAAATGCATAATCATAGTGTCTTATACTAAAAGATTACAACAAAAGCCCGCGAGTATATACCTGATGACAGATTTCACATATAGTGTTCCCCTTTTCATTGCACCAACGTTGAACACATTTTCTGTGAGCATACTGATCATCAAACCATAAAAGGTTTTAAGTCAATACTCACAATTTATCTCAGCTTAACCTTGATAACTAATAGTTTCCTAAAGGAAAAAGAAACTACCTTTAAGCTGCCATTGCAAGAACATGGACTCTCAAGAGTCTTAATATCACATTCCTCTTGACAAATACGACACTCAGTAGTATCCCCGTCGTAGATATCAACCAGCGACTCTGATCTCATATTATTCTCAGCCTCCGCGAGAACCGGAGGTAACGGAACCGGTCGAATCAATCTATTAACGTATACAACCGTGTGATTATTACTCATCTCAGTGCTTCTCAAAACCACTCGCACGAATTCCAAATTGAAGTCCCTAAATACGAAAACAACAAATTCACAAGTAATATGAACTCTAATCAGACACAGGAAGTTACGAATCCCAAGAAAAGAAAAGATCACGCCGAGGAAAACAAAGAAGATCGAGATTTTCGGATACTAAATCTATTGAAAAAAAAAATCACCTGGAAAAATTGGGAATCGATGTTTATGGCGTGAACAGAGAGCTTTTTCTCGTTCTGAGCTGAAAAATCGGGAGGAAGGTGAGAAGAGACGCAAAAAGAAGTTTGTGGTTTTTGCTCCCAAGAAAAAAAATTCTTGGGAAGATGAGAGAAACTTTCTTCACAGAGATTATTTTCCCGGAAATCAAGCTAATGGAAAATGGCTTTTTATAGCGGGAAAGATAACGACGTCTAAAAAGACTAACGGATGCCTCCGTTAGTTATAGCCGTTGACCAGAGAAGTATAACGGCTCCTAGTGGCGATCTTAATTTAGTCTGTTTTTATTTCCTTTGGTCTTTTTCTGACAGCATCTAGTAGTCTTTTATTAACAACATGTTGTTTAATTATAAGTAAAAAACTAAGTCATATATATAACTCCAAATAAATGAATAATACAGCCTTTTATTATTTTAATCCCATGATCATTTCAAAACTCGGATTAAAATAAAAATTTAAACAAAATAACAGAAACAATGCAAAACAAAGGAATATTCTTACTGAATTATATCTAAAATGACAGTTTAATAATCATTTTTCAAAAAAAAATAACTCATATAAATTATCTACATTTCATTCTCATCAATAATACTCTGGATTATATACACTCTGCATATATTATAATATTTACACGCATTATAATGTAGATATTTATATTAGAATGGATAAGGTTATTGGCACGATACTACAACTATGACAAATTATATTCATTAAAATAAGTAAACGCTTGATCTTTTTTACCAACAAACATTTTGTTTGAAGAATATATATCACTATATATTATATAGAGACCTCACATCAAATTTTTAAGAACTATATTAATGTGGTTGATCAGAAATGATCAGGTAACATACATGTCGAATTATATCTATATAGTCCTTAATTAGTTGTACGGATTGAAAATTATTGACCGTTGAGCTATTCCTTAATTGAAATTGTCAACTATTCATTAGGAAGGATTACCAAGAAAAGACATGGTCACGTCTACATATATTTCTATATATAATTTGACACAGATAGACTCCTTTAAAGTTACACAAAATTTTGGTTAAAAAGCTTGTCGAATCAAGAAATGTATAGATTTTAGGAATTGTATTATGGCGGATTTAGATTAATTTTGCGTAAGAGCCAAAACCAGTTCTAGCTATAATTTTTTAAGATCTAAAGCAAATGATGAAATGTGATTTTACATTTTTCACCCGGTTCGGAAACGATTTATCAGCGAGCATTGAATTCTCAACAACAGACAAATTTAAATACATAATTTTAAGTCTACACAATCTTGATATCTACAAAATAGAGAAGAAAAGGAAAAGAATAGAGTATGTTGCGAATATAGATTATACACTTTTTGCAACAAAAAAAAAAAAGAAGATTATTGGCTTCTATATATGATTCTATCTTTCAGCAGAATGAACTTTTTTCTCTATACGTACTATATAATAATTTCTACGTAGAATTCGGGCTAAGAAGCTAGTGGCAATTATTAGTCTATTGTATCGTTGTTAACTTGAATAGTTCAAAGAATGTAAAGTCAAGTAGACAAAAAGTAATAATAAAATTATATAATTGGCATTTCAAACAACCGTAAGGTCGCGAGGTTTTCTTAAAATGTCGAAATTATACACATACCGCCACATACATTACCGACAATGAACATCGTAAAATCTATCACACACATAAATAATAGATTGCACATATACCGCCACATATTGGCGTTACTTTTATATGAGTAATTCGCACAAAAGGAAATGACGCCTATAGTTTCATCAAAATTCAAACACAATGTAACGTAGAATACAAGTTTCGAACACAATGTAACGTTAAATAGAAAACATGATATCATATTTTTGTATTTGGCTACGTTACTTAAAGCCAGGCATTTTTTTAGATTTACCATTGTAATCAGAAGTGGGTGTGTCAATATTAAGTATAAAATAGCGCCCAATGCCCAATCGAGTGGTATGTCTTCCCCTCCTGCTTTACTCGCATACTTGATTCTGCAAACAAAACAAACATGGTTTTTGTTTACATTTTTGTCCCAGAACAAAAAACATTGAACTTGTCTTCTGCTGCATCCTGCATGACAGGACAAAAGTTAGCTTTTTGGAAAATTAACAAAGAAAATTGGTAGCATTTTGTACAATTTTTAAGGAAATTTTAAAATTCAGATAATACTTAGCATAAAACTGTGAGTCTGTGACGCAATTACACTAAGTTTCCGGATAACTTTTTAAAAGGGGGAATCAAATTGAAAACAAGTACTCAAAGACATTTAGACAAATGCTCTGCTTTCAGAAGTTACCTGTCCAAAGTCGAGGAAACTGTGACTGTAGATTGTGTATGAGACATTTCCATAAGATATGGTACGCGAGAACTCAGGAGGCACATGCTCACTTGGCACAAATGCCACCTAAACATTTAACCTTATAAGTCAGGTAAATGGTACTATTATAAGTCCCGTTCGTTTTTTCATCCGGATGTATCCATAAAAATTGTGGAATCCCATTATCTAGTAAAAAATTCCACAATTTCGACGGGAAACATATATAATTCTGTAATTTAATATAAAATCTGAAATGATTTAGGCTATAGTAGAAGTGTTTTTTTTTAGTCTTTGATAGTTTTGGACATCCAGACTCTACTTTTCATTGTATCATGCATAAAAATCCAAATCTTTAATTCATATTTGTTATTACATCGAAACTCACATGTGTAGTTTGACTTTGACAAAAGGAACAGAGCCAAATACTTTCTTCTGGATAACAAATTTGAGAGAGGAAATAGACTAGACCTGCGCAGAAGCCCCACCAAGTTCAACAATTCCCGTTGTTTGCTATGGATCACCTCCAAGCGAACGGAGTGCGTGATTGGCATCAACCCAAGCATAGATACCTTCATCAGATACTGAATAATATTTATCAATAATTAGCACTTCCAATCGCCAATGGATGGGCACATTTAGTATCACTCAACTAAGCTAAAATAAAACAAAATGAAATCAAAATCCTTATTGCAACATATATATATCCAAAACACTCCTATAATCTCCCACAATGTATAATTGTAGGTCAATGATCAATCTAACCCTAATCTTAAACACAATTGCATTTGATGGAATGAAGAATTGACTCCGAAAACTAACCAGAGATAACAGAAGCCCATTCGTCTTGAAACTTAAACCCAGAAGATCTAAGAACAATTCTTGTAACATCAAGAATCTGTTCTTGAACAGGCACTTCAAGCAATCTCATCCCAGCAGTCGCCATTAACCTAATGTCACTCTTCTTCAACATTCTCTTGGGAATTCTTCCCTTCGCTAATTCCACAAGCTTCGTCACTGACACGCTCGCTCCCTCCCGATTATCAGCATACGCAGACAAACCAGGACTCAACTTCAGACTAGCGTAATGTTCTTCTCCGAAATCGAAAACGGTTTTCCGGACTCAAACCAGTATCCGAACACATGAATTCGGGTCCCTCAACTCCCGGCATCGATAATGACACTATACCGAAGCGAACTTCTCCAAAGAAAACTTCCAGAGAACAAAACTGAATTTGAACTGAAAACAAATAATAGCCCTAACGTGATAGCCAAGGAAGTGACGATTAGCATGATTATCGATTTCGTAGCTTTCTTCGATTGGGCTTAGTGAGCATGTACGTGGACGAAGGCGATGATTGGTTATCAGGTAGAATCTGAACCTTGAGAGCATCCATCTCCGATTTTATTTTTTCAACCTGGAATGTACAAACATAGCATCAACTTTTAAGGAACCCTAATGAAAACTCAGAAGATATTTTATAGCAATAGCAATAAACGCAGTGAGAGAAAAATAAAAACATAACCCATTAGCAATTTCGTTTTGCCTCTTTTTCTTAGTCTAGAATCTGATTTTATAATTGGTGAGGAATAGGAGTCCAGAGGAAGACCTATAACTACAAGCTCTATTCTCTAGAGTAGGTGTAGAATTTATTTTATGGTAGGTGTATAATATATATATATATATATATATATAAGAAACTAGTGGTAACTGGTAATCGAATATCTATTCTTTTGTTGTATACTTAAATGTTAAAAAAACGTGTGCAAAACAGAAGGACATGCGAACAAACGATCATCACTCGCGGTGGGCCGATTTCTTAACCAGTCCCATGCATAATTGCTCCATAATCTTAAATGTTGTGTCCATTAAAAAAAAAAAAAATGTTGTGTCCATTATCTAAATCACAGTGAAAACAAATAACCAACCAAAAATATTGAATTCTAATTTTATATAAAAAAAACAATATCGAATTCTATGTACCACATCTAACTTTGTTTTATGGACCAACAGGTCAGATGTTACTGCTGTCACATGTGTTTTTTTGGTATATCCAAACCTTTTTTATGAGCAGCTAACATTTTTTAAGTTTCCCCTTTTTTCCATTCTCTTTTTGTTTGTACTCGTCAACTTAATTAGAAACATTATTGAGAAGAAACCAACAAAGAGTTTATTACAATAATACAATCCCACAAACGAGAAGAGACAATCCCATATAGATATACGCACCTACGAAGGGGCTTAGCTAACTTATTTCATAAAAAAAAAAAAACGACGACAATAGTTTCAAACACAATTTAATATAAAATACAAAATTATGATTTCTATTTTGTATTCGGCTATACGTTACTTAAAAGCCTAGATATTTTCTAGATTTACCACTGTAATCAGAAGTGGGTGTAACAGCATCTAGTATAAAAGCGCCCAATGCCCAATCTAGTGGTATGTGTTTTTCTCCTGCTTCATTTGCATACGTGATTCTGCAAACAAAACCAACATATAGCTTTTATTTATATATCTTTTTCCAGAAATAGACATTGATTGATCTAAATTTTCTTGAATTTATGGAGTAGTACTTTAACCTTTCATCATCAAGAGCAATACCAAGACTATCATGAAGCATTGAGATAATATATGCTGATGAGAAGCAATAGCCACGCAAATATTCTTCATCAGTTGTTGGGTATTCCAATATCAGTTTCGACCATTCTTCTCCACAATATCTCTTTCCAGCTGGAATCAATTCAGACAACCAACCCTTTTCTTCCAACTCAAAGAACTGTTTCAGATTAATTTCATACAGGAACATAAGACGTTGTTCCAACAATTTCACCCCCAAAAATTCATACATATAATCTTCACGTCATGGGATTATACCTTGGCGGTGTAGTAGAAATTTGATGTAGCCAAAAAACTCCCTTGAAGATCAGGTGTGAATGTTGATCCAATAGAACAATGCTCATATTGACAGTTCTCTGTACACAAAGTAACAAAAATACACCCATAAGAGATCAAGAAAATCGATAAGAGGAAAAATATCCAGCTATATATACCAATAATGCTCTTTTTTACCTTTTCCTTCTTGCAAAAGTGCAAACGTAGCGGATCGGCATTTTGAGAAATTACCAGCAGCTTCAAGGGAGCCTTTTAATCTGCTTTCATCAGCTAAGAATCCGGATGAATATTTCTTTGAATTTGTGTCGTAGATGTACCCTTTAGGAGTACAAGGGTCTTCAACTATTCCCTCCCCTGTAGAGTTAGCTGTATGGATTGTAACACCGTATGAGCTTTGAGAGAAAAATAATGTTATTTCAATTGCCTAAACTCAAAAGTGCAATTATAACAATTTATCAACAACAACTAACCTGAGTTTTGGAGTGTTTCCAATAACCTTTTTAGTGCTGCATCCTGCAAGGAGACAAAAGTTAATAGCTTTTTGAAAACTAACAAATTTGGTACCATTATGACATCATCTACAATTTCGAGGGGGGGGGGGGGGAAAGAAAAGAAAATTCAACGATTGAATATATAGGGATAAATTTACATTATAGGTTCCAAACAACTTTAAAAAAACAAGGAATCAAAGACAAATGCTCTTGTCTCATAAGTTACCTTCCCATAATTGAGGAAGCTGTGACTGTAGATTGTGTATGAAACATTTCCATAGGATATGGTACGCGAGAACTCAGGAGGCACATGCTCACTTGACACAAATGTCACCTAAAAAATGCACAAACTGTCATCGCTTACAATCGACCATTTACCACAGTTGAGGTTTATCGTAAGTCTAAAAAAGGGCATTACAAGCCACGTTTGTTTCTTAATTCGGACGTGCATCAAAAGTCAACACCTAGATTCAGATCTAAATGTAGTGTTCGGTTGTTGTTCGTTTATTTAACCAATTTTTGCATCAAAAATGTTCGTTTAAAAATTTGTAAAAAAATCTAAACACAAAATGTATCAAATAATAACAAACGTCAAATCACATGCATTTTTCTGCCAACATTGACGGGAAAACGGGATTCCATAATTTTTGATCCCTGGAAAGTAAAATTTATGTACAAAACTATCAAATGACTAACATACCTATGTTTATACAAAGAAAAAAAAAAGCAGCTATATATAGCTTATATGTTTGCATCTTTTTGTCTAGCATCAAACCAGAGAGAAGAGACTAACCTGCGCAGAAGCCCCGCCGAGTTCAACAATCCCCGTTGTTTCCAACGGATCAGTTCCAAGCGAACCGAGTGCGTAATTGGCAATAATCCAAGCATATATACCTTCATCAGATCCTGAATCATTTCCCAATAATTAGCACTTTCAATTTATCCAACGAAGAAGAGTTGATTCACAATTAAAAAAAAAACTAACCAGAGATAACAGTAGCCCATTCGTCTCGAAACATAAACCCAGAAGATCTAAGAACTCTTCTCGTAACATCAAGAATCTGTTCTTGAACAGGCACTTCAAGCAATCTCATCCCAGCTGTCGCCATTAACCTAATGTCACTTTTCCTCAACATTCTCGTGGGAATTCTCTTCTTGGCGAATTCCACAAGCTTCGTCACTGACACGCTTGCTCCCTCCGGATTATCAGCATACGCCGACAAACCAGGAGTCAACTTCAGATTAGCGTAATGTTTCTCTCCGAAATCGAAAACGGGTTTCCCGGACTCAAACCAGTACCCGAACACATGAACTCGGGTCCCTGAACTCCCGGCATCGATAATGACGCTGTACCGGAGCGTACATCTCCGGCGAAGCAAACTTCCGGAAGATAGAACTGAATTTGATTTGAAAACATATAATAACCCTAACGTGACAGTCACGGAAGCGACTATTAGCAGGATCAATGATTTCGTGGGTTTTGATTTGGGCTTTGTGACCGTGTAGGGCAATGACTGGTGCTCAGGTAGGATCTGAACCTTGAGAGCATCCATCTCCGGTGTCATTTTTCAACCTGGAAGGAGCATGATATCGTTGCATTAACGTCTAAAGAACCGTAACGAAAACTAATTAACAAGATAATTTAATTTAGCGATAAACGTAGTTAAAAAAAGCGTAACGCAATAGCAATAGATGTAGTGAAAAAAACGCAAGAAAATAAGAAACGTAACCCAGTAGCAGCAATATCTTTTTGTACCTTCTTCTTAATAATTAGTCTAGAATCTGATTTTATTATCAGAGTTCAAAACGGCCGTTCAAAAGACCTGTAACTTAAAGAAATGTATTAAAATAAATTATAGTACGGGTCAATATATAATTGAGGATATAAGAAATTAGCTAGTGGTAATTTGATAATCAACTATCTATTACTCCTTCTGTTCCAAATTATAGGATGTTTAAGCCTTTTTTTCTTGTTCCACAATATAAGATTTTTTCAGATTTTTATGCATAATTTATGTTTATTTAGTTTATTTATGACTTTTTGAATTCTGCTGTCTTTTTTTCTATTGGTTAAATTTTTATAAATAAATAAATATTTATTACTTCTTAATCTTTGTGCTTTTAACAAAAGCATCTTATAATTTGGAACAGAGGGAGTATTATTTTTTGACGTAGACTTGAACGGTTAAAAAAACGTGTCTAGCTAACCTAACACAAAAGGATACAGTAATCACTAGCGGTGAGTCAGTTTCTCTCCTACCCGTACATGCATGAGTATTTTCGTTGTTTGGCGTATGGACGTATGGTCCCCATCAAGAGTTCAATTTTGGTCGAGCCATGCACGTTTGCTTCCAAATATCACAAAACCATCTCCGAAATCCGACTTGAACAATCCAAGTGAATCTGTACACAATCTCTCTATAAGCTCATTATTGTGAGTTGTCTATCATTAAAAGATAAAAATAAAATATCAATTAGTTGTCTATCATTTATAGCGTGGTGGACATAAAATGAATTTTAAAATCGGTCTGTAATTTTTAAATTATTAATTTTATCGAGGACTATATGATGATACACGTGTTGACAGTGTAAATCACATCATAATCGTCTTGACTTTCTTTCTCCATCAGAATCGACCTTGATCTTGTCCTTCATTGATTGTTTGAGAAGTTATTGCAGATCAACGGTTCTTGATCTTGTCTCCCATTGATTGTTGATAAATTATTGTAAGTTTACACTTCATCTTACACTGACACTGATAGCTTCATTGCTTTCGTCGAGTAGATGGATTGAGTTTGACTTTCTCATTTTGCTTCCATGATTTTAACTTTTTTTTGCTGGAACCAAGAATAAAGTTTAAATTTTTGATTGTAAACCTAATATTTTCATTATCAATGAATATTTACATTTCTTAGCCAAAAAAAGAAAAAAAAAGTGTACATTCCACGGGCTCGTTTTTATTCCTTTGTATAACTTTATAACACTGTTTGCTACTCATTTGTGATATTTAACATGCATTTATAACACTTTTCTTCATTAAAAGGATTTAAAATTTATGTAAAAAGTGTAGAAATTTCACACACTAATTCAAATTGGTCTTCAAATTTTTTATAGGTAGCTAACTAATTTCACAAAAAGAGATTAATGAAGACTGTAGCTCCAAACACGAGTTGACGTAAATACATATACATCATAATAATTTACTTGTTTGATCTGAAAACAATCTCTGTTTATACCAAGTAATCTCATGTTTTGTATTTGGCTACATTACTCAAGTCAAGAATTTTTCTAGATTTACCACTGTAATCAAAAGTGGCTGTGGCAGTATTAAGGATAAAAGCACCTAATGCCCAATCTAGTGGTATGTCGTCGTCTCCTGCTTTACTTGCATACTTGATTCTGTAGACAAAACAAACGGTTTTTCTTTATATCTTTGTCACAAAACCAACAATGATTGATCTTGAACTTGTGCAATAACATTTACCTTTTATCATCAAGAGCAACACCAAGACTATCATGAAGCATTGATATAATATATGCTGATGAGAAACAATACCGAAGCAAATTCTCGTCCTTAAAAGTTGGATATTTCACTTTCAATTTCGACCAATCTTCTCCACAGAATCTATTTCCGGCCAAAATCATTTCAGACAGCCAATCTTTTTCTCCCAACCCAAAGAACTGATCCAGACAGAAATAAAAGACCAATATTAAAACAATCCTCCTCACATTCCGATAGAATCTTGACAAATTCAAAGGATTATACCTTGGAGGTGTGGAAGAAATTCTCCGTAGCCAAAAAACTTCCTTGAAGATTAGGTGTGAATATTGATCCAATAGAACAATGCTTATAAGTACATTTCCCTGTACACAAAGTGCCAAAAGTACTGCACCCATAAGAGATCAAGAAAATTGTACACGAGGAACGATATTTTTGCTATACCAATAACGATGCTCTTACATTTTCCTTCCTGCAACATGGCAAATGCAGCAGATCGACACTCTGAGAAATTACCAGCAGCTTGAAGGGTGGCTATAAATTTTCCTTTATCAGCCAAGAATCCAGGTAAGTCTTTTTGTAAATTTGTTTTAAGGATATACCCTTTTGGAGTACAAGGGTCAGGAACTATTCCTTCCCCTGTAGAGTTTGCAGCTGCTAGGATTGAAACACTGTATGAGTTTTGAGGGAAGAGAAGTTTATTTCAATTGCCTGAACTCCAAAGTGCAATTATTTTAAGGATTTATCAACAACTAACCTGAGTTGTGTAGGAATTCCGATAACTTTTCTTGTGCTGCATCCTGCAGAGGCGACTAAAATTAATAGCTTTTTGAATACTAATATGGGTAGCATGTTCTATAATTTTGAGGAAACATAGAAAATCAGAAATCAGTAGGTAGCAAATAGGGACAAAACTACATTAAGTTTCCAAACACCAAACTTTTGAAAAGGGCCAACCAAAGAAAACAACTTCTCAAAGCGAAAAAAAAACTCTGCTTCCATGAGTTACCTGTCCAAAATCGAGGAAGCTGTGACTGTAGAGATTGTATGAGACATTTCCATAGTCTAAAGTACGGGAGAATTCAGAAGGCACAAGCTCACTTGATACAAATGTCACCTAAACGAATGTATAAACAGTCATCACTTACAATTAATTACCACACAGTTAAGGTTTATCCTAAGTCTGACAAATGGCATTATACGCATATATTCTTATCGATAAAACAGATTTGACAAGAGATTAAACCTGGGTAGAAGCCCCACCGAGTTCAACAATTCCTGTTGTTTTTAAAGGTTCACCTCCAAGCGAACCGAGAGCATGGTTAGCAACAACCCAAGCATATACACCTTCATCAGATCCTGAAAATTTTCCAAGATTTCTAGTAATTAACATCAACAAACACCAATGAATGTGACACATTTACTATCACTCACCAAAGCTAATATAGAAAAAAATGAAACTCTAATCAAAAGTCTCATTGCAACATAAATCCAAACTTCAACATCTCAATCAAACACTATCCTTTACTTCCACAATGTAGTGGTCAGTGATCAACCTAAGATTCCCTAATCAAACAAAAATTGAAGAATTGATTACGAAAACTAACCAGAGATAACAGAAGCCCATTCCTCTCGAAATTCAAAGCCAGAAGATCTAAGAACTCTTCTAGTAACATCAAGAATCTGTTCTTGAACAGGCAATTCAAGCAATCTCATTCCAGCAGTAGCCATTAACCTAATGTCACTCTTCTTCAACTTTCCCTTGGGAACTCTCCTCTTCGCGAATTCCACAAGCTCCGTCACTGACTCACTCACTCCCTCCGGATTCTCAGCATACGCAGACAATCCAGGACTCAACTTCAAACTACCGTAACTCTCCTCTCCGAAATCGAAAACCGGTTCACCGGATTGAATCCGGTACCCGAACACATGAACTCGGGTCCCTGAACTCCCGCCATCGATAATGATACTGTATCGGAGCGAAACTCTCCGATTCCTTCCGGAGCGTGAAATTGAATAGCAAACAAAGAATAATCCCAACGCAATAGTTACACAAGAGACGATTACGAAGACAATCGATTTGGTGTGCTTCCACTTGGGTTTAGCGACGGTGGACGGCGATGATCGGTGGTTGCCAGGTGAAGTCTGAACCTCGGGAGGATCTCTCATATCTGATTTGAATTTCAACCCGGAACGAGCATTAAACCGTTGCATCAAGGTTTAAGGAACCCCAACGAAAGCGGATAAGGGATCATGGAGATCTGATCGTGACGCAAACGAAACGTAAATCCAGTAACAGATTATTTTTTGATGAAATCTGATGTTTCGAATTCTTAATCGGAGATCTAATTTTATAATCGGAGATTGGCAGTGAGGTCGGAGAACGCCGCCGACGAAGCTCGTCGCTGCTGCTCTCAGTCTCCGTTTTCGTAGTGGAGAAGAAATTTGGTCGCTGGAGTGGAGCGCCTTTTTTACAAATTACACACCTCTTGCTCACAAATTCGGACCGGGTCGGGTCGGGTCGGGTCACATTCAAAACCATTTGATTATCGGGTCCTTCTTAGCGATACAGACATATACGAGTAGTTAACGCGGGTGACTCCGGTAACTTTTAACAAATCGTAATATCAAGTCTATCTTTCGTGGACCGGACCGGTTTAAATCTATATGCTTAAAATCTGTAAACGTATTTACACGGACCGACGAACCGAACTTTATCTCATATGGATCATCGTTTTTCGAATAATCTATATATACATTTTTTTTGACACATTTATGAAATAAATTCTAGAGTTCCAACTTATTTACGATCAAATATCATTGACATTAATTATTTAGATTTTCAAAATCAAATCCAAGATATTAACATAAAAAATCATTTCCAAAAATCTTAACCTAATATATTAAGCATAACTAATCATTGCCACAATTACATTCATATTCAATTCGATTTCCTTAAAAGATCTCAACAATCCCTACATTTAATCGTGGCCATTCAAATCTTAATCCGGTTTTTAATTTTCAATCTTGATCGTCGATCATACTCAGTTAATTCAGAAATCATTATATATAATTAATTATTACTAACAAAAATTTAAAAATATATATATAATCAAACTTTTAAATTGACTCGAATTATAAGTCTATTAAATAAAATATTATTAAAAATAACAAAATGATATTTAATTTCACGGGATGGGTTTAGATCGATATTAATACGGGACGGTATTAATATCACGAATGAAATCTTAAAATTAACAATCAAAATACAATTATACAATCTTAAACACTTAACAAAACAAACAATATTAAAAAATACAATTTAAAATTTAATTTTTAGTTAAAAAATCGACCCGCGGTGTACCGCAGGGTAAAATCTAGTACAATACAACTTCTATAAATTAATAATATCAAAACCAAAAAATTCTATTAATTAATCGCTAATTATTAATTTATCAATAAATTAAGAGATTTATTAATTTATAGAGAAATTTTTTTGTTTCTATATTTTTGAAAATTTCCTATTTAAAAATAGGGAGACTCACAAAAATGTCCCTTTTTCAATACTCCTTTTAAAAAATGCCCCCTTTGGCTGTCCATTTTTAAAAATACTCCTTTTTATGTACAAAATGATTAAATTATCCTTCTTTTAATAAAAGATATCACAAATATATAAGGAAAACATGAGAATGTGCACACATCAAAATTACAAATTTGATTTTGTAAAAACTTGTAAAACCTTTAAAATACCTTATAAAATTTTTACGTAAAAATTTTTCCCACCAAAAATTTTTTTTTGCGGGAAAAGTGATTCCGCAATTTTTTTGGCGTTAAATTTTTGGGGGAAAAATTTACAAGGTATTTTAAAGGTTTTTTACAGGGTATTTATAAGGTTTTACAATATATTTTAAAAGGTTTTACAACGTATTTATAAGATATTATAAGATTTTACAAGCTATTTTATAAGGTTTTACAAGTTTTTTTATAAGGTTTTACAAGTTATAAATACCTTATAAAACCTTATAAGTACCTTGTAAAACCTTTTAAAATACATTGTAAAACCTTACAAAACACTTGTAAATACTTTGTAAAACCTTTAAAATATCTTGTAAATTTTTCCCTCCAAAAAAATTGCGGAATCACTTTTCCCGAAAAAAAAAATTTTGGTGGGAAAATTGCAGGATCACGTTTTCCGCCAAATATTTGCGGGATTACTTTTCCCGCCAAAAATTTGCGGGATTACTTTTCCCGCCAAAAAATATTTTGTATTTTGTGGAGCTAATTTTGTTTCAAATAAGAGTAAAATGGTCATTAAAAATTAAAAGAGGGCAAACTTAAAAATGAACTCTCAAAGGGGGCATTTTTGAAAAGGGGTATTGAAAAATGGGCATTTTTAACAATTTCTCTTAAAAATAAGAAGCTTTTGGTTATAATTCTATATTTAAAAAAAAAAATCTTTTATCTATAGTACCTTATACTTTTATAATTTACATATTTTTTATAAATTTTTTCATTTGTAAATTGTTTAGGATTTCTTTTTTAATTTCCTAATTGCTACGGTGTTTGATGTAGATGTTTTATATTAAGAGCATCGTAACATTAGTTTAGTTATTAATGCAGTAAAGAAGATTAGAGATGAGCTCCAACAAAAATGCAACTTCAAGAATAAACAAACAACACTAGAATCATACTTTATCAAGAATAAACTAACATTAGTTTCTTAATTATATTTTATCTAATTATTAGTTTATGATATAGATGAGACCATATGTTTACATAGGATTTTAAAAAATTATTATCTTATTAATTTATCAATTTATGTCATATTTTACACTGGTCCCAGGACCAAAAAAATTTATTAATTTATAGAGTATTAATTTATAGATGTTAACTGTACTACATATAATATTTTTACGTGTTTCTTTCAGATATACTGAATAATTAACATAACGCTGTTAAACTACGACCACTTGATCAGTACATACTACATATCATCACTAAGCACGTCTTAAACTCTTAATCAACGGGAAGTGGATTAGTAGTGCTTGCAAATTACAATTGCACGTACCTTCCTTCTCCTCCATTATTGATTAAGTTTCTATGTTCAAGCTCTTTTATTTGATGTTACTAGTAGACTAGTAGTCTAGTATAAAACATGTTTAACGCTAATCGTGGGCAGATCCTTAACAATTAATAATGATCCTACATTTGACCCATTCCCACAGTATTAATAATTAGCATATAATTCCATGTTAAAATGTACATTAGTTGGTTATATTTGAGATTTGTTTTGAAGCTTGGGTCATGTGCTCACATGCAGTAACGTACGTTAATTAAATACTAGTATAATTAATTTCTTCCCATATTTTTAAATTAGTTAAGCATAGAAATGGATTTCTCTCAGAATATTTTCAAGTCAATCATTTTTCTCTTATCTCCACTTGGATCAATCTGCCGAACGACTTGGTCTTTTTTTTATAAAATAAGTGATAGTTGGTCTGCGATCCTTCGATATACCAAATGCGATAGGGGATATTGAGATTTAAGTTTACTGTCGTCTACTTGTAAAACGTACAAAAAAGACTTTTCAAGGTCGCCAAATATACAATTAATTGCTTAAGAGAATATGCGAATCTTTTAATTAATCAAAAACACTTGTTAACTATAATAAATAAAGGAATAACTAATTTAAAATGGTATTACAAGGGATATGTAATTCATCTGTCTATAAATTTGAAGCCAAAACGTCGTAATCATGTATCGCAGAAACGAAGAGAATAAAAGATGGGAGCAAAAGGTTGGTTTATCCTCAAGCTTCTAATGTTTCAAGGTCTTTTCGTTTCACGTCCGCAAGAAGACTTTGATTTCTTCTACTTAGTTCTTCAGGTATCTGCTCTGATTTAACCGAATCCAATAATCATTTTATCATTCTTTTTTAACAAACATAAGTATAAACTGAATTTGCTGCAGTGGCCAGGAGCATATTGTGATACAAAGCGTGCTTGTTGCTATCCAACATCCGGTAAACCTGCGGCAGATTTTGGTATCCATGGTCTTTGGCCTAATTATAATGGTGGTTCATGGCCATCAAATTGTGATCCCGACAGCCAATTTGATAGATCTCAGGTATAAATGTATGCATAAATGACTGTTCAATATTCCTTAATATTTTCAAACAACGATTTTTTGATATTATGATTATGAATGTATAGATATCGGATCTCGTAAGTAGTTTGAAAAAGAATTGGCCAACACTATCGTGTCCGAGCAACGAAGGGTTCAAATTTTGGGAACACGAATGGGAGAAACACGGCACATGCTCCGAATCCGTAATGGACCAACATGACTACTTTGAAAATGCTCTTAAACTGAAAGAAAAAGCCAATCTCCTTCAAATACTCACAAACTCCGGTATATATATACACTAATAAATCACTCTGTAAATGTACTATTCATGTATACATTTTAAACTCAATGACTTTTTTTTTTTTTATGTAGGAATTAACCCGGATGATGGATTCTACAGTCTGACAAAGATCACCAATGCGATAAAAAATGGGATTGGATTTACACCAGGAATCGAATGTAACAAAGATCCGGAGCGAAATGACCAGCTTCATCAGATCTATATTTGTGTTGATACATCAGGAACTGAGTTTATCGAATGTCCAGTTTTGCCTAGAGGAAGATGTCCATCTCAACTCCAGTTTTCTAAGTTCTAATTATATCTTGACGTGATCTTAATTATGTCTCTTCTGTTGTTATCTTTCCTAATTTCTCTTCTCTTTTTTAGAGTCCAAATTCATGGGGACTCTAAAAAGTAATATTATGTTTTTATCTCAAATTTAAATAAGATAATCTTTGGTATAATAGTATGTGGAATAAATCATAGTGTAATATTCTTAATGCAACGTACGTTTCATGAAGCTTCAACCCTAATGCATCCTAAAAGTTACTCTAAACCCTTTTCAACCGAATTTGGTTAGTCACGGTATAATAGCTTTTTAATGTGATGAAGTTTTATTTATTTATAGATATAATCCGGATGTATAATCGTTTAATCTCCTTTTGAGGGCATAACGGATTCTAAGTCACTCCTTAAATTGACTGCTAATGACTCCGGTTCAAGCCAATCGTACCAAGTGTATCGTTGCATGGACCCGGTCCATTAAGCTTCATAAAGAGAATGATATACATATACCATCATTAAGGGTGCCTATATTCGATGCTTAATATTGTTATTAAACTGTTTTATTATACATATATATTCACAAGTGGAGAAACAAGTTGAGAATAATAAATTAATAAACAAACGTAATAAACAAATTAAGAAATCCTTTCCCTTCTTACATATGAATAAATATTCTGGTAAATAAATTCAAGAAAACCAAAAAAAAAAAGAAACACAGAGAGCAAAAACACATGAGAGGAATCGTCATCGTAAACTTACTAATTTTACAGAGTCTTTTCGTGCCTTCGTCTCCAACAGCACCAGACTTCAATTTCTTCTACTGGGTCAACTACGTATGTTTCCAACAACACATACATACACGATACATCTATGTATATACAATCTTAATTACCGTATTATTATGATGCAGTGGCCAGGAGCAATATGCGATAGCCAAAGAGGATGTTGTCCTCCAACGAAAGGCAACACGGCGCCCGATTTTATCATCCATGGGCTCTGGCCTCAGTTCAACAATGGAACTTGGCCTGCGTTTTGCGACCAAACCAATCTCTTCGATATCTCCAAGGTTATATAGATCTATCTCTATTTGTAATATGTTTGGTTTGGAATCTTCTAACTCCGACTTTAGAATAAGTGAAGCTATTATACAAATGTATTATTGAAAAGCATCTGAATCTTGAAAAAACAACAGATATCAGATCTAGTATGCCAAGTGGAAAAGAAATGGACAGAGTGGGGAGTGTGGGCATGTCCAAGTAACGAGACAAATCTATGGGAACATGAGTGGAACAAGCATGGCACATGTGTCCAATCTATCTTCGATCAACACTCTTACTTCCTTACCAATCTCAAATTCAGATACAAATTCAATCTCCTCAACATCCTTAAACAAAAAGGTACAAAAAAGATTGAAAAATGAATCAGTGGAAAGTTTCTGAAGATTGATCATTTGTTTGTTTTCGTGTAGGAATCAAACCAAATGATGGGTTTTACAGTTTGGATGAGATCAAGAATGCGATCAAATGCGTGATCGGATTTGCACCGGGTATCGAATGCAATGAAGATGTAAAGGGAAATAAGCAGCTTTTCCAGATCTATATATGTCTTGATAATTACGCAAAAGAGTTTGTGGAGTGCCCGTATGTTCCGGATAAATCATGTGCTTCCAAGATCAAGTTTCCAAAGTTTCCGGAGAGAGATTCTCTTAGTGAGTCTCTAAGTGTGATAGCCTCTGTTTCAACGACCTAGAAAACAAGAGCGTTTGTGTTTCAATAAGAGAGTGCAGGTGAGAAGCTTCTATAAGTATGACGAATCTTTGAGTTCTATAAACGTGATGAGTCTTTGAGTTCTATAAATATGATGAATGTAATGAGTCTTTGAGTCGAGAGTTTTACCTACTACGGTAAGAACCCGTGTTGCGCAATTGCAATTTCAAAGGCTTGCATTCTTTCGCCTCGTTTATTTCCATTTCGATCATAAGCTGATATCTCGTTAATCTTGAGGTCAACAGAAGCCTTAATGATCTCTTCTCCAACCCGTTTTGCTGCTTCCTGAAATAAATTAACATGAAGTGAAACCCGCGCTAATTACATAATATTTTCATACCATAAGACAAAACTATCCAAGATCGAGTTTCCTCAACCCTGAAATCTTACCATACTATAGAAATATAACAAGAAACAACTTCATGACATCTAGACTAGTTTCTTCTATCTACCCTGGAACTCGATGCCGTCACCTCTATGAAATCCAACCATTCTCTCAATCAAGACAGCAAATTTGTGAAACAATTGATGACGAATGAAGCAAAGACAATGCCACAAATACAATAAACCGCCTAGGTATCTAAACAAACTCCAACTAAATGTTACTTAACTGGCTAAACTCTTATCAAAGTTCAAGAGTGAAGCAAAGACAATGCCACCAATACTGTAAACTGCGTAAACAACAAAGCAAACTCCGACTAAATGCTACTTACCCGGCTAAACTCTTACCAAAGTTTCAATATTTTTCAGGTGACACAACAGACTGAAAATTTTCAGGTGAATAACTTACAATGACAGTACATGGAGGATCTCCACGAATGGACTTCTGCAATGTACTAGCGTAGAACAAACACTTTTTGTTAAAGTCATCCACCAACATAGCATAGAGTTGTTTATCTGAACAGAACACTGAAAGTCTTGGTTTTGTTTGTGTTCCATTAAACTGTTCCAAAAGCGAAAGAAAAACTTTTTAACAAGTGAGGCAAAAAGATTCAAACTTTTGTGCATTATATAAAAGCACCTTTAGAAAGTTACCTTCTTCCTGCTCCTCCTGTTCCTGGTTTTTGGACTCTCCACTCGAGAATTCCCTCTTGCTTCAATCACAAACGGCTTCACAGACATATCTGATAAAAGGGTCGAAAAATCATGAACCAAGTAAGCGAAACAGAGGATAATAAACATGGAAGAAGAACAGAGTAAGACGAATAATACCACTTACTTGTTATTCGAATTGGAAATTGGGGATAAGGTTTCAGACGAGTTCCGAGAATGTCAGAGACTCTAAACTGAACAAAAGAGAGAGAACTCAAAGCAGCCATGCGAGGTAACATTCGTAAAGCATCGAAAGTCAGAAGATTTCTCCCAGCTAAAGACAAATCATATTCTAAGCGGAATTTAATCAAACACCTTCTGTGCAAAGAATAACCTCTGGGGGTTTTATGTAACTCTCTAAAAAATACTGGAAAAAATTAATAAAATTATAAATGTTCGTAGCCTTTTGCAAAATTTCCACATACGTAAATAAATATCTATATCCCTTTTTGTCCTTTATGAAAGAGGATAAGGATTTAAAAATAATAAATATTAAATTGTTTTAAAAGAATTAAAAATAAATGGAAAGCCTTAAGCGTCGTCAATGGTTCTAGAGTCTTCTGCAACTTTCTTTCCCACTTCCTTCATGAAACTACTGTAATCTTCTGCTAACATATATAATCTCAAACCCTATCTTCTCCGATTTCTATCTTTTATCTTTTCGATTTTCTTCTTCTTTTTCTTCTTCTTCTTCTTCTTCTACTTAGAGATTTTTCCTCAAGAAAGTTCGTTCTTTTTCTCTGTTCTTTAGATAAAAATCTCTGCTTTTTTTCCTTCTGTGGGTATTTGCGTGATGTCTTCGGAGAATGATTTCGCTGAGTTTTCTTCTTTCTTCGAGAGGATGATCCAAGGAGGAGGCGATGGTCTCTCTCGATTTTTACCGGTGATTGTAGCTTTAGCCGCCAGAGAAGACGATGATGACCAAGAATCGAGTAATCAGACGACGAATCCAAGGCTGGTGATGATCAGATCGGGTTATGGACTCGACGATTTCTTTAGCGGCGGAGAAAAACAAGGGAGATCGCCGGCGTCGAAATCAGCGGTTGAGAACATGCCACGTGTCGTGATCGGAGAAGATAAGGAGAAAGATGGTGGTTCTTGCGCGATTTGCTTGGAGGAGTGGTCTAAAGGTGACGTGGCGACGGAGATGCCGTGCAAACACAAGTTTCACTCAAAGTGTGTGGAGGAATGGTTAGGGATGCACGCCACGTGTCCTATGTGTAGGTATGAGATGCCTGTTGAAGAAGTGGAAGAAGAGAAGAAGGTTGGGATTTGGATTGGTTTCTCCATTAACGCCGGCGAGAGAAGAAACGCAGAAGACGGAGGAAGAAGAAGTTGAAGTGACTCGAACCCTCGTGATGCAACAGAGGCTTAGGTTTAGGTTTGGTAGAAGAAAGTTTTGTATAGTTTCTTTTTCGTTTTTTTTCTAATCAGTTTCGATTTCAAATAAATTTTGTTACTGAAATTGAAGAAATTCAAGAACATGATTCTTTCTCGTTTTGAAGCAAACAACAAAAACAAAGATTTCAATGTTTATGGCTGTGGTTGTGGGCTTCCTTGAGGGCTAAGAAACATATTTTCTTGTTCTTCTCGTTCTTTGAGTATTTTGATTCCTTGATATCTTCCCAACATTAAAACAGTAGCCATAGGGTTTGTTCCTGGTGATTCTTCAAACGTTGAACCATCAATGACTCTTAAACGCTTCACACCATTCACTTTATAGGCCTCGTCCACGACAGGTCCCACAATGCAACCGCCGTGGTAATGATAATAAGTTCTAACATTCTGTTTACAGAAGTTCTTAAGGTCTTCGTCACCTGCCACAAGCTTATCCTGAGCTTGTGTACCCAAGAAAAACGTCACACACTCTGACCTCGCTACGTGTTGAAGATGCAGAACCATCTCTTGGCATGCGTCAAGGTCTTCCTTGTTCTTCAAGTAGTTGAATTTCACTGCCGGATTCTCCATAGGGTTAGTGCTGTTAAGCTTGAGCCTTCCTTTGGATTTAGGGAATGCAATCTTAGCTGCTATAGAGATTCTTGTTGTGGTGATGTCAGTTGGAAGAACCGCAGATTCGAGTATGAATTTGTAACCTTCTGCAATCGCTGCAACTTGAGGTGGCTCGAGTGTGCGGTTTTGCGAGAATCTATCAACAAGAAGAGAAATTGCTGGATTATCTGACATTTTTCTTCCGACTTCTTTGAGATTGACAATCACAGGAATGTCGAAATCTTTTAGATGATTCTCAGGTCCAATTCCGCTTAAGAGGAGAATCTGCGGACTACCTAAAGCCCCAGCCGTGAGTATAACCTCGCCTCTATGCTTCTCAACATGAGCTTTGTAGCTCTTATTTGAGTTCTCATCACTCTCCATAAACCTAACTCCAACTGCGCGAGTCTTGTTAGCATCAAAGATTATGCTTTGGACCGTTGCGTTTAGAAGAACAGTGATGTAATTTGGTTTACCAAATCCCAAAAGATCTGCAGATGTATGTCTTTTCCCACACTGATCATATATGCTTCCACCGATCTTTGTCCCTTGCGTGTGCTCCAAACTATATCCGTTATACGGATAAAACCCGGCTTCAAGAAACCCGAATTGAACAACAGATTGCCATTGAGTCAATTCTGGCATGAAGACAACCTTAGACTCAACCCATTTATAACAATCTTGAACCAGATCCTTGTCCCAACCAGTTTTCTTCACAAACTCATCGCTAGCTCGGCTGTAAAATCCGCCATTTATAGCGCTCGATCCTCCAAGCACACGTCCTCTGTAGTTTTCGATTCCATCTACAGAGGTAAAACTTTGAGCAACAGATGAGTATTCATCTGTATTTAGCAATGAGTATCCAAAGTACCTTCTTTCTTCTACTAATGGATCTCCAAAAGGGGAGCCACCGCGTTCAATGACCAGAACAGAGTATTTCTCAGACAGAGTTGCGGCTAAGGAGCATCCCGCAGTTCCGCCTCCAACAACGATGTAATCGAATGACTTGCCGGAAACTTCTTTCGGATCTGTGGTCATGTAAGGCATTTGCGCTCCTGAAAACATCAAACAACATTTAATGAAAAACATTCATTGCATATATATTTGTTTCAAACAAGAAGACAATCTACATTAATACCTTCTGACAGATTAATGAACATGAAAATGATAAAGAGAAACACAAAATGAGACATGTCGTCTAATCTTGATTTTCAGATTCAGAGACAATGTTTTGTCTGAGTAAAAGGGATTGTTTTGTTTAATGGAAGAGGTTGTGAGTCCAAGTGATGAGTTTGTCTTGTGTATCCTAAGGCATTAAGAGTGTAGACATAATGATCTGAGAAGGTGGTCAACAAATTAAATAAATAATTCAACAAAAGTTTGTTACACTAAGGAACGCATGGTTAGAGATCATGATGCTCTCTTTGTTGGATAATTATGAAATTTTCCTTGCATAATCATATATACATGTCTTAAAGTCATGTCCCTGGATAATCATGATTTTTACCTTTTCTTTTCTTGTTCCAACTATAAATGTGAGTGGATGAAGCAACAACATTAGTTAGAAAAGGACAATTAACCTTCTTTTTTTGGTAATGGTTAAAAACAATTAACCTTAACTAAGACTAATTACATGAGAGATAATCTGAAATTCATAATGATAAGCGAGTACGAAAAAGAGACGACAACCGTTGTCTGAATTAAGATTCTAGAGCAATGTGTAAGCGAGTACTTTCTTTCAATATTTCCTTTTTCTAATCTAGCTAAACCGGGTTTGATAAAACATCCCCAGAAACAAGACTTATGGTCACTTCTCGGATGCTCCGGCTAGTCGGCCATTGTTCGAACAGATCTCCTCTGATGAAGGATCAGGATCTGGAGAAGCGAAAGCTATACACCTCACAACCAACAAGGCATTAATGCATGACGTTCATGTCACTTATACACACACACACAACATGGGGTTTCGACCATAAAGCCATCATATTACAGATAATTAGACTGCACAAGGCATTGAAGGCAACACAATCACTTACACCAACGCTCGGTAGGTCTTGTTCAAAAGCATGCGTCAAAAGGAGAATTATTTAGTTTTATGTCTCATTTACTACAAAGAGGATTTTTGGTTAAAAATTTAAAATATATACAACTAATACAAAAAGTACACGAAAATTTAGCAAATAAACATGTGATTTTTATTTAGAAGAATTTTTCTAAAACCAGACCACTATCTTGTCGATCTAGTTGACTTGGCTCCACCTCTCTTTTTTTTTTCCCCATAATCTAATAAGAAATAGCTATTCTTATCCTATCTTGAATATATTTAGTTTAAACTTTAAAGTATTAGTAAAGTGTTGACAATAAAGTAACAAACAGAATAAATTTATCATCTTTACTTTGAATCATGAAATCAGCTACTTTGTTTATGGTTTGTTGTCTTCTTATGTTCTTCCTTATGAACAATATTAAAGGTAAACTTTATCCTGCTGCATTATCGATTTCTCTAAAATTTCCTGTCTCTACAATTTAACACTTTCTTGTCATTGATATAAAACAATAGAGGTGGAAACTGTCCATGTGGAGCAAGCAGGAGTGTGTGAATTCACAGGAGAATTCCCCGGAAAATGTGGCAATGACGGAAGAAAAACGTGCATAGAAGCAATGAACAAGAACGGCGGCACTCCATTGAAAAGAAATAAAAACTTACGTTGTGAATGTTTTGATAACCCTGTTGTCATCTTAGGTCGTCCGAAACGCATTTGCAGATGTCGAGATAATTGCTAAGAAACTATAACATCGTAACCAAAACCTCTTTAATTCTATTAATTAATGATCAAGAAAATAATCAAGAGAATATTTGGTGTAGTAAGAAAATTCAGTATAATGTGTTTCTTTTTTTCTTTTCTTTTTTCAGATTAGATTACTTTCGATTATGCCATAATCTATAAAACCATGACTAGTACTTATAATTCTGTATGTGGATCTCGCTTTTTTTTTGTTCAATTTAACTTGAAGTTCTATGAGACCACAAACAAGCTGTTCAACATAAAGAAAGTTCAGTACTAATAGAAAGTTCATTATGCTCTCTTTGTTGATTTTAATTTTATATTTCCTTGCATAATTATGTCCTTAATTACCTTTAAGTTTGGCTCTGGATAATTATGACGCACAAAAAAGTGGTTTTCACACAGATTCAATATAATTGTGTCCATATTGTTTCAAAAACTCACACTGATCAATCAAATCATGTGACAAAAACACAGATATCAGAAAGAAAGTAGTATTATCATACCACTTTACTCAGCTCTTTAGATCAACAGAACTCAGCACAATTATTCTCATCTTTAAATCCGAGATTTAGCCGAACCAAAAAAAACTTCGAGATTGGATAATAAAACGGTCAAGATGGTCGTCAACCGTTCCAAAATGAATACTTTACAGTACTTCTTCACTGGTCTTCCAAGATCAACACATTGTCAAAAGGTTAGATGTTCAAGTAGGCCAAAAAAAAGAACTTTTGATCTCTCTGCTTTTTTCTCCACACTACCATGAAGCTTTCTCTTTCCCTCTAGAACGCACAACCGAGACTTGATTAGTGAGATTATCCATGGCAACTGAGTTACTTCTCTTCATTTTCCTTGGAAAATCTTTGCTTGAGTTTCCTCTCAATGAGAGGTTCTTCCTTATCCGGCTCCGGTTTATCATCATCATGGTGTTTTTCTGCGGCACATTGACAGCACTTTCAACACAGTCACCAGCCTGAGCACAACCCCATGGCCTTGTAGATGCACTTTCAACACAGTCACCAGCCTGAGCACAACCCCATGGCCTTGTAGATGGCCCATCTTCACAAAGCGGTTTAAGCCTCGGAACAGTGGGTCATTGCGTTGAGTCTTTGGAGTTGATTGGTCAAGACATTCTGCGTGAAAGACGTGTTGACATGAAAGCACTCCTGTGACAGGCATGTCTCGGTTTCTTAGGATGGACCGAGATCCCCAAGGAGATTTCTGCGAGAGGTATCTGTTACACAATCCGCATTTAAATGTACTTGCAGCTACTTGTTGTGCTTTGGTAGAGGAGTTATTATTATTCCAATCAAGAACTGGCTCAGGAACATCCACAGAATCAATGCTGCTTGCGGTCCCACTGCTCCAACTGCAGGCATCCGCAGAATCAGATGTTGTATCCCTAACATTATCAGAAGGATGTAGTATAGGATGAACCGGCTTGGACAGGAAAAAGCGCCGGCTTGAGACGTTACGGCCAGGTTCAGAGTCACCAATATCAGAACACCCAATACCGACATTTCTTGATGTACCTGGTAGTTGCTTAACAATCTGATCTGCAGAGAGAAATGAAATACAAAAAGATACACTAATCAAATGTGGTAGATGTAAATATCTTAAAGGAAAGAATGTGAATGTTAGTGCAACAAACCTCTTCTTGTTGCAGATTCAAAATCATTAGGTGTCCAATGAAGAGCTTGAGAAAGGTCGGGACTACGAAGAACGTTAGCATTAGATGATGTGGAAGATCCATAACAGCTAATACCATCCATTAATCCATGGACGTCCCATCTCGATGAAGGTGGAGAGAAACTTGTATTAGTCCTCCAATAAGGCTCATGCGGGCCAAAAGAAAAGTCCCCACTTGCAGAATTTGATCTATCTGACTTTGCAGCGACGCAACAGAGCGAACCCATACTTCAACTTATATTCACTAGATAGACCCTTTCGCTAAAAACACCTCAAGCTGACAAGTGACAACAGTACAGCTTCTGAATATGTCTGAAGATTCTACAAACCAAGCTTAAACACCTCGCAAACTCCATAAACTAGAAGACAGATCTCGCAGAAACATAATTCGGATTTGTTCCTTGTTCTTTAGCTTAGCTCACCTGAGTAATCAAAATAGCAATCAAAGTTTCAAACTTTCAGTCATCAAACAAACATAACACATTGTACCAAAGGTTACTAGATAAACACCACAGAGAACCAATTCCTCAAAAAAAAAAAAAAAAAGAATAATCAAATGTGGAAGCTCAAAGAATTAATCTACCTACCCAGTAATCTCTTCACTCACTCATCAAACAACTAGCAAAGATCTGAACTTTAGTTTTCAAAATGCTTTTTTTTCTTCACGAAGAAGATCAGAAGGAAAAAAGAAGAACCCACATTGTCGAAATTCTGTACCTGAGATTTTCATTGCCATGGATTATGAATTTTCCAATGAGGTAATAAAATGAGTAAAGTAAAGGGCTTACTGCTTCGAAACTCGGAGAGACAAATCAGGAAGAAGATGACTGTTGTCGGAAGGAATTGAACCTACTTGCCGCGAATTCGATCGAAAAAAAAAAACCTAATTTCTTGGAAAGGGGAAACAACTCTGCTTCTTCTTTACTTCTACTGTGTGTGTATGCAACTTTACTTTATCTTTTGTGTTTTATGTATTTTTTATATGTTGAAAAAAAAATGTATTTATATATATATATATATATATATATATTATATGAAGTTAATTTCAAAGGGAAAAAAAAAGGAACTCTTTTATGTATATAGCAAAGCAGTAATTAATTTAAGTTGAATGTATTTGTTGACAAATGAAAAAGTTGGAATGCATTTAATTTTGGATGAAAAATGAATTCGTTGAATTTTTGAGTCAAAGAAAATTAATACTATCTTCAAATATGCAAATTTTGAATCACTATACTATGAATTTTGTTTTTTGTTGTCAAGTGGCATGCACTTAAAAAATGATCAATAAAGTGATATATATCTAATCGAAATTAATGAAGGATCACATAATACAGTTGGGCCACTCGTTAGTCGTTTGATTAGCTTTTACTGAAAAAAACTATAGGTGAATTAGGGGGGTAAAAGTTTTTTTTTTTAATACCTTTCTACTATTATATAATTTGAATAAATAAATTTTGAATTCATAACTCTCCAAACAAAATTAAAACTTTTGAGTTGATTTTGCCCTTTTAGAAACATGTTTTGTCAACTTAAAAAGATGGATAAAAATCTTAAAATTTTGAGTTAATTTTGCTGTTTAAAATCTCTATTTCATCAACTTAAACAAATAGTTAGAAATTACGAAATATGAGTAATTTTGTTGTTTTTCGATGTCAACTAAACAAATGGTTAAAAGATTTTACCGTTTTAAACGTTCATTTGGTCAATTTAAATGGAAAGTTAATAATTTTTGATATACAAATAGTTGATATGTTCAACTATTGACATTTTTTCTTATCTTTTTTTTTTGTCGTCTAAATCTATTATTAATTGCAAATTATGAGAACTATTACATAGACGATTCTACAAGCTCACCTCCTTCACCTCCACCTCTGTGTAGAATCCTAGCAAACGGCTATAATTGTACATTGCTGGAAATCTTCTGCACACTTGCCTCCAATAATCTGCAAATTTATTAATAAATCGTAATGTCTGGAACTCGAACCCTAGACCTCTGGGTGTAAAAATATTAATGAACCCTTAGTCAACCAATTGACCAAGGAGATTTCTACGGTCCTTTTTATATATTATTAATTTAATTATTATAAATATACTTATAATTTCACGGTAACGTTACCATCCGTTACTGCAAAAATTCAACATAATTTGTTTTTATTTAATTTACAATAATTTTAGAAGTTATAAATAAATCAACAACGATGTATATGAATGGTGGTGTTAAATGCGTATAATAACATTGTAAAATAACAGTTAATCTGAAATTGTAAAATTAGAACCATGAGGCATGAACCTAAATTTTTTTGAAGAAAAAAACAATTACGGTCAACCGGTAAATTATCTATCTGAAATCCCGTCTCGATCCATACATGCATGGGATGTTTCAAAAGTATGATTGGAACCTGTACCGACCCAACTCAATTGAGGTATTACGATCGACGTTGACTACCAAATTTCTACGCATATTTGCTAGGGAGTAATTTATATAGCCTTCTTAATTAATTGGATTTCAGATAATTTACTATTTGTCAAAAGAAATTATTTTTATCATTCTTTATATATTTCGATATGATTGTATTCAATCTAGCACATGCAGAGAAAACTCCACTAACGAAGACTAATTCATAGTAGTTGTAAAATTATAATTCACAACATATATAATTCGCAGCTACTCAATAATCGAAAGCCACCGGACACAAGTGGAATAAGAAAGTATTAGTCATAATAGTTTAATAATTTAGTTTTATTCTTTTTATCATAATTTGACCAAAAGTCTGTTATATAAATGACACTAAAAATGCTAAAATAAAAGACTTTTTTTTTTCTCGCTAAATCAACAAAATGATGTCGTTACTCGTTAGCACTTTAAAATATTAGTTCACCAAACTATAATGATGGTTGAACATTGATTTGTCAATGTAGTTGGTGATAATTTTAAAAGTTGGGTAAAATACATTTATGTAATCAGTATAAACTCTAACTTTCGAAGAACAAATAAAACGATGAAAATCCTATATTTTTCTAGAAAACCATAATTATTTCGTCATAATTCTAAGCAACAATTAAACGAAAATAAATTATTTTAATTTCAGGTACATTATATTTAAATATATTTTCTTAAAATAGTTTACGTGCCGTCACGTCCCGAAGAACAGTTAAAAGAAAATAGTTTAAAAAAAGCCACCTGTAATCAGATATTTATATTTAATATATAGACGTTAGCCCCAAAACTTGTATTTCTCTGCTTTCAAACCCAAAAAGCCAAAAAAAAAAACCATTGAAGCAGCAGCCGAAGAAGCGGTCACATTTTCCGGCTAAACGGACAGATCGACCAGTGAAAGCTCCCATCATCAAAGGTTTCTACTCCTGTAAGCATTGCATGATCCAAAGCTTTGATTCAATGAAATGTTGTAGAAATCGAATTCTTGAAAAATGTTTTTTGCTTTGGTCGGTGATGTGTCATGGATCTTGATTGGTTTCGTTCGTATGGTTTTCCTGGCTCAATTTTTCATAAAAAAAGTATAATCCGTGGAGAGATTTGACCTAAATCTCTGTTTCTTGAGTAATTTTGTTTCTTGATTTAGCATATAGTTGACCGACGAAGTCAAAGGTGTTTATGTCTGAAAATTTGGCTGGTTAATTTTAGCTAGAGCTTTCTTATGTGTTGCTAAGATCTGATCTTTATAGATTTAGAATTCTCAAAGACTGTTTTGTGTATTTCTTTAGTGTTTGTTGATATATGAAGGATCTTATTATGAACAATATAAGCTCTAAATTGGAATTCATTTTCATGTTTTCTCCAGCTTCCTGCAGCATTGTGATTGTTTCGAGTTGTCGTCATTGTTAAAATGGCTAGTACTCTGAGGAACATTCATGGTAAGAGATCTAATCTCCAATCTGAGTTAACTGGAAATGGAGGAAGTAAGAGAAGAAATCTTCATGATGATACAGATCAAAATGTTATTGGGTCAGAAGAAACTGTGTACCGCTACTTGTGCCCGGTGAAAAAGACCGGGAGCATTATCGGGAAGGGTGGCGACATCGCTAAGCAGATAAGGTCTGAGACTAAATCAAACATGAGGATAAACGAGGCTTTACCCGGTTGCGAGGAGCGTGTTGTTACCATATATTCCACTAATGAGGAGTTGAATCATTTTGGAGATGATGGTGAACTTGTTTGTCCTGCTTTAGATGCTCTTTTCAAGGTTCATGACATGGTTGTAGCGGACATTGATCATGATGATGGTAATGATGATGATGATCTTGGTGAAAAACAAACGGTTACTGTGAGGATGCTTGTACCGTCTGACCAAATTGGTTGCGTTATCGGAAAAGGAGGGCAAGTCATCCAGAATCTGCGTAACGACACCAATGCTCAGATTCGTGTCATCAAAGATCATCTACCTTCTTGTGCTTTGACTTTGAGTCATGATGAGCTTCTTCAGGTGAGATACACTCACAACTCACAAGTCTTTATTCTATTATGATTAGAGAAAAAAGATTCTAAATTAGCTAATGATTTGTGTTGGTTAATTTTCAGATAATTGGAGAGCCTTTGGTTGTTAGAGAAGCTCTTTATCAAGTTGCTTCACTGCTTCATGCTAATCCGTCACGGTTTCAACACTTACTCCTGTCTTCTTCGAGTTCCATGCATCAACCTGGTGCAATGTTAATGTCTGCAGCGCTAACGAGCTCTCACAGAAACTACGCTGTGCGTAGAGATATAGCAGATGCAAGGGAGTTTTGTGTTTGCTTCATCTGTCCAGCTGAAAACGTTGGAGGTGTAATTGGAAAAGGCGGTGGTTTCATTAATCAGATCAGGCAAGAAACTGGTGCTACGATTAGAGTCAATACCTCAGAAACTGATGAAGATGATTGCATAATTGTCATATCATCAAAAGAGGTAATGCAATCTTTTTTATATTATATCATACAAAGATTATTTCATATTTAAACCGACCTTTTTTGTTGCATGTAGTTCTACGAAGATCAATCTCCAGCGGTTAATGCAGCAATACGCTTACAACAGCGATGCAGTGAGAAAGTGGGTAAAGATGCAAATGATTTAGCAATCTCTACTCGTTTACTTGTATCGAGTTCCCAAATCGGGTGTCTCATCGGAAAAGGTGGTGCGGTTATATCCGAGATGAGGAGTGTAACAAGAGCAAATATCCGTATTCTTCAGAAAGAAGACGTACCAAAAATTGCACGTGAAGATGAAGAGATGGTTCAGGTAATAAATACATTCGGATATATTGTGTTTGGACATGTTTTTGTTTTGTTTTTGGTTCCTTCTTTAAAACTAAGCCAATGTTCCTGTTTTCTTTTGCTGTGGTTAGATTACAGGAAATCCTGATGCCGCTATGAAAGCTCTTACGCAAGTAATCTTGCGATTAAGAGCTAACTCTTTTGACATGGATCATGGACTTGTCTTGCTACCAACATCTTTTCCGTATATCCCTCAAGTGACCGAAAATTCGAGCAAATCCAAATACGCAAAACGCGATGACCACAGCAGAATGGTATGTACTGGTCCTCAAGATTTGAAAAAAACTCATGTCATATGCATCAATCAATCAAGATATTCTACTTAAGTATATATTTGCTCTTGCAGAATTCGAATTCTAAGAGAAGAAACTATGTTTCTTAAATCAAGAAAACCAATCTTAGAGAGGAAGATTGAGAGTGTTCAACAGTTTCAGGAACTTCAATGTTGATGCAATTTTTATACAAAATGATGTTACTTATAGAGAGAAAAGAGTTGTTTATGCAATTCACATAAGAAATGTAAACAAGAGTGGGTGTGTTTTCATCTTTTTTCTTTTAGTTTTCTACTTTGGTATACTCTTTGAATTTGCACAAGTGTTTTTTTAATTTCTATTTATAGTAACCGACATTTCATTATTCTATTGTATTACATAAAAATACCAATAGGTTTCAATACTCTCTACGCTTTTATTGTTTTTCAGATTGATGTCTGGATACTCTGGATCTTGTCCACTTCACTTTGTTCTGGCAAGAATTATACTTTTAGTTCAAGTTAGTGGATGTACACAATAGAGTAGGTAAGAAGAAGCGGACAAACACAAGATTACAAAAGTCTTTGCTCAGCAAAATTCTCTGTCATTCATATAAAAAATCTCACACTTACTCTTTACATTTTCTTATATTGGCTAGTAAAGAGTCTTTAACCGTTTCTTAAACTGTCCTCAAATGTTACAAGTTTTCTCTCTGTTTTGAAGCACAATAAAAAGTGGAGAAAGCAGAGGAACTTGAGATGTCGACGAGGCCTTGAAAATCTTTTCTTGAGTCTTATCCTCTATATCAGTTTCTTAGTTTTATCCATCAAAACGACAAACAAAAAAAGATGTTGTCACTGAAACATAAGCCCCGTTCAGTTTGGTCCGAAGGAAGACCCAAGTGAATAACTGTTTTGAAACGAACGGCCATATTATCATTCGTCGAAGAGAAGGCTCCACACACGTGTCTCAGCCGATAATATGTCTCTCCGACGTAATGATTCTCTCATTGCCGAGGTTCCGTATCTCTACGGAAAAGTGACCCGGGGACTTTCCTGAGTCTGAACTTTGACAAGTCCAAAGCCCAATCACTTCGTCCAGTGACGTGCTGAACTTACTGAAGTTCAGATGTATATATAAATACACTAAATATCCTCATAATAATCGATGTGGGACTAAGTTACAATTGCAATTTTACTAGTAAACATGTGTATTAGAATCTCACCAAATTGGGTTCCTTTGGGCCTTGACTTACTTAATATGAAGAGTCGATTCTACAAAATTAGGACTAATTAATTGGCGGGTTGAGCCCGGCCCATGCAATAGTGCAACGCATGGGCGACTCTCGAAAGCCCAGATAGCAAGCTATCTTAATGGGCTTTCTCCCTTAAAAAATAGAGTTAATATCGTGTGAGCCGATGACCCACATATCAGATATTAAACTGATAAGAACAGATACTACACTTGATCTTAGCCAAAAGGCCGAGAAAGGTATGAATTGTTTAGATGGCCCGGCTTCTTTTTTATACCCGTAGCTATGACTGAAGCTTTTCAAAACTAACGATGTGGGACAATTCAAAAAGAACCTCTTGAACAAAAACGCCTATGAAGACAAAAACATCATCAATTGTCGTCGTGACTTAAAGCAATCTTACATTTAAATGTGACAATGAATGAGAGATTTACATCGTCGAATCACTAAATTCAATCTGGGTAGCTTTAATCTTTTGAATTTCTTCTCTCTGTCTCTACGAATAAAATATATTCACCATTCTCAGAAAAGTAACAGTCAAATTAGGAGACACTTCAAATTTTATAGCTTAGATTATTTAGCCAAGGACATGAATATGATGCCAAAATGAGAATTCCTATAGGCTGTTGTTTGATGTAACAAAATAGAGCAGGTAAAGAGAGGATAAACTAAACACAAGATAACAAATAAATCTTTGCTCATTATATGTCCTCAGCAAAAAACCTAAATTATCTGTCCTTATATGAATACCACAATTAATTATGCTTTTACATCTTTTTTCTTTTTTCCTCCATTATAATCAGCTATTTCAAAGTCATAACCACTTCTTGAAGTGTTACACTCTGGAGATTTATATAAACTGCGGACCCTTTTTGTTTAGTAAACAGTCACAGAGCTAACATGGAAGAAGCAAAGCATATTGAAGCTGTGGAAGCAAAGCAGATTGAAGCTGAGGAAGCACAACGAATAAAAGCAGGGGAAGCAAAACAGATTGAAGCTGGGGAAACTTCAAGATCATCTAGGAAAGTTATTACTTTTGAGCCAAAGTTAGTTATAAACAAAGGAATATCGGTTCTTGGATTCGTTCTGCGGTTATTTGCTGTTTTTGGAACTATAGGAAGTGCGCTTGCCATGGGAACAACACATGAATCTGTTGTCTCTTTAAGCCAGCTCGTACTTCTCAAAGTTAAATACAGCGACTTACCAACGCTCATGTAAATTATTCAATGATCAATATCGATTTGTCATGAATTGATTGTGGGATATATAACAATACTGCTCTGTTTCATAGGTTTTTCGTGGTTGCAAACGCGATTGCTGGTGGATATTTGGTTCTCTCTCTACCGGTGAGTATCTTTCATATCTTTAGTACTAAAGCTAAAACCTCGAGAATCATCTTGCTCGTTATCGACACGGTAAGTATCTCGCTCCCTCTTTTCCGTTGTTCCCTTTCCCTCCTATTCATTATGATCGTACTATATATGGTCGAAAGTTGTAATATGTGTAGATAAATTTTGTCTTAATATAGTTTACATCGAACATAAACCAAAACCGTCAAGATAATTACCTAACGGCTGTCTACAAGTAGATCTAAACTGCATAAATGATTCTACGGCGTAGAGATAATAGTGGTCAAGTTAAATCTAAGATCATAGGATAACAAAACAGGGCACAAAATAACTTGTGACCCAAGAAACCTAACACAATTTATTGTTTCTATAATATAATCAGGTGATGCTGGCTTTGGTGAGCTCTGGTGCATCTGCAGCAACAGCCACCGTGTATCTAGCTCACGAGGGGAACACAACTGCTAATTGGCCACCGATCTGCCAGCAATTTGACGGATTCTGTGAACGCATCTCGGGATCTCTCATCGGTTCTTTCTGCGCAGTGATCTTACTCATGCTTATTGTTATCAATTCGGCTATCTCCCTCTCGCGGCACTAAGATATCTATGCACATATATATCGATCTGATTTTGCATAGAAATCGCTACGAAATGTTTCTTGAATAAGTCTTTTTTAATTTTATATCTAGTGTAATGTAATGAGTCCAGAAATTTCATGTGAAGAATGAAGAAAGATATATACATTAATACATTTGAATTAAGCAAGAAGCTCCACCACATTGTCTATCGATTTCAATGTCTTCTCGTAGTAGAGATAGGACTCGTACACCTTTGGCGTCCGTACGTAGTAATCCAACTGTTGTGTCAAAAACATTTAGCAAAATTATAATTAATTGTTTTTTTTTTTGGTAAGTATAATAATTAATTGTTGACAAAGATATGAAATATTATCAAGTGGTTTAAAGTTTGACCCTAAATTACTAATTCTGTTTTTAAAAAGTTCATTAATTAATTATAACGTATACCTCACTCATGTTTTCTACTAGCTCGTTTGCCGCCTGAACGTAATCATTCCGGCGACTCTCAGGCAAGATGTTCATGGCGTTGGTGAGATCCTGAGACAGATAAGCCTGTTTCAATCTTATGTAGAATATAACGTACCTCCACGACATGTGCTCCAACATCTCCCTCATGTCTCTTAATCCTTCTGCCGTCTGTTTTATACGCGCCGCCGCATCCTCCGGCGATAACCCCGGCATAAAATATTTCTCCTTTATGAATGACCTCGTCCCCCATTTCTCCTGAGCTAATGCTGATGACGTGGCACGGCCGATGACCGTCAATGTTATAAATGAGGTCAGGGTTCTCCTGCGAGTGAAGATGTCTTGTTGGGATTCTCCGGTGCAACATACGACGGAGAACGGTGGGTTTACACGGCGATAGTAATTTGGGCGGAGGAGATACGGTGGTGGAGTGTTGGTGGTGAAGGAGCTCATGATTTTTTTTTTTTTGTGTTGAGGATAGGAAATGGGAGGAGCTCAAAACTATTATTGTCTACTGGAAAATCACAATGTTATCTCTAAAGTTTTGTATTTTAGAATTAGTGGACATGGGCCCATAAGACTTTAAAAAGGCCAACATTTCAAGTAAACGACGTCGTCCAATACACACAAAAAAAAAAAATTATGTTACCAAAACGATGTCGTTGCATAGGCAACATATAATATAATTCAGTTTTTGGGTAATTGAACTCTGTGATGCACATTTGAGTTGGTAATCAAATCCGGTGAAAATGGAGCGGAGCCGAGTGGCCGGAGAAGCACCGACCGGAACCAGGATCCTGCTTGCGTCACTCTCTGCGATGGTCGCAGAGTCAGTTACGTTTCCGATTGATCTCACTAAAACTAGAATGCAGCTCCATGGTTCGGGATCTGCTTCTGGTACGCACCGGATTGGCGCTATCGGAGTCGTATCGGAGATTGCGAGGAAGGAAGGAGTGATTGGTCTCTATAAAGGTCTATCTCCGGCGATTATCAGACACATGTTCTACACGCCAATAAGGATCATTGGATACGAGAATTTGAAAGGATTTATCGTCGGATCTGAAACTAACAACGGCGAGTCTCTTCCTCTTGCCACAAAGGCTCTCGTTGGAGGATTTTCTGGTGTTATAGCTCAGGTAACGGTGCTTCTTCACCGGTGAATCTTTAGAGTCCTGTATTGACTGTAGATCGAATCTGGATTTAAGCTACATACCGATTCAACTTAAAGTAGAACAATTCGAATGGAACAATCGATCTCTATGTTTGATTTCCATTGAAAATGCTTCGTAGAAGAAGTTATTAAGTAAGAGATTTTGTCTCAAGTTTCTTGAAGTTTTAAAACTTTCAGTGTTCGTGCCATTTCAAAGTTAGCTGCTACTTTAGGTTGGTTCAGAGATTAGAAACAATGCAGATCCTAGTCTTGGATTGCTCAATGTGTTTCACAGATCCTTAATCCAAAATTTGTGCTTGCTTGTTGTCTCCTATTTGTTACAATTAAGTTCTCTTAGATCACTGATTACCAATGGAAACTCGGGGATCTCCGGCGAATTTAATCATTTTAGGCTTTTCAATTGTTTTTACGCTGCTGAAGTTCTATCGTAGCGATGAAATGTAGCTATCTTTTAGGTTGTTTATATCTTTAGATTTGACATTTGAGTGTTATTTATCCTACACCAATCTAAAATGCTTCTTATTGTGTGTTATACTAGAAATGCAGGTAGTGGCTAGTCCAGCTGATTTGGTCAAAGTGAGAATGCAAGCAGATGGTAGATTGGTTAGCCAAGGCCTGAAACCGAGATACTCGGGACCAGTTGAAGCTTTCACTAAAATCCTACAATCAGAAGGAGTAAAAGGGCTATGGAAAGGCGTTCTTCCAAACATCCAGAGAGCATTTCTAGTGAATATGGGAGAACTAGCTTGCTATGATCACGCCAAACACTTTGTCATCGATAAGAAGATTGCTGAGGATAACATTTTTGCGCACACGCTTGCTTCGATAATGTCGGGTCTTGCTTCTACAACTTTGAGTTGTCCAGCTGATGTGGTGAAGACGAGGATGATGAACCAGGGTGAAAATGCTGTGTACAGAAACTCCTACGACTGTTTGGTGAAGACGGTTAGGTTAGAAGGAATAAGAGCTTTGTGGAAAGGTTTCTTCCCGACATGGGCAAGGCTTGGACCGTGGCAGTTCGTGTTTTGGGTTTCTTACGAGAAGTTTAGACAACTCGCAGGGATCTCTTCCTTCTAAACCTGAGAAACTTGGAAAAGCAAATTTGAGATTTGGGGTCTTTTAGTTCTTACACATCTTGTAAGAAACTTGAGAAGTAGCATCAGTACTTTCTGATGAAGGTGAGAAGAGTTATATAAAGTTGGGGTCAAATATTTAGGGATCATATTTTACTTTTCAAACTCATTTTTTGTTTTTAATAAAATTAGATTGGACATCCTAAGCTAAAAATTATCTTTTTTTTTGGTAAGGAAGCTAAAAAGTATCTTAAAAAGTAAGAATTTAATTAAAAAAAAAATTCGTAGAAAATTATGTGTTTGATGTAAATTGCAATTTTTAACAAAGATTTTGTGATTTTAGGCACATATATTACTAAAAGTTTATATTAAAATGGAGTAATATTAATTTATGTATGTATATTTTGGCTAGTAAAGTTTCTGTATCTTGGAGTTTGTTCATGTATTAAATAGAAAGAAAAATTACATTCATGTATTTTAAGAATTTTTTTTCCTTTCTTAAGAAATTTAGCAACTTCAGCAACTTCAGCTTTTGATGTCAAAAAAAGAAAAAGAAATCTAGAAATTTGGCGCGTGGAAATCGTTGAGCAAACAGATTGACGTCATTTTGACATCTGCGGCGAAAAAGAAACACAACAGTGTCGCAAGCAGAAAAGTCTCTGTAGATCCAAATTTACTTCCAAGTTCGATTTCGTTTTTCTTTCTTACCTTCAATAAGTCACTTTTCACTTCATCAACTCTTTCGTTTTGTCGAGAAAATCTAGAGACACAAGATCCCCGACGAAATTAAGGTACTCTTTAATTTCTTTGAGTGACGGAATTGATGTTTACCCAGAATAAGCAAAATTGAAGAATCATCTTTTGTTTGATTTAGCCTAATTCAATTCATTACCGGGTTTTCTTTGTTTTAGTTGTCTGAATCGTCACGTTATAGATCATTAGCCAATTTAAAGATATAAAGTTTTAAACTTTTTCTTCTGATTCGTTTAAAGTCTTTGTCGAATTCAGACCACTTTTACTGATTTGATCAGAGAGAATTGTCTTTGTTGAAACTAATTTTCGACACTGATCTCATTGATTACTTCACTCTCTAAAGGATGTTTCTTTCTCTATAAACATTGGCCTTAGGTTGTTGTGTTAACCTCTCCATTGAAGATATGGAGGAACTAAATGGAGTCATTCCGACTATAGACTTGGAAGAGGTTTCTGATAAGATTCTGAATCAGAAAATCCGTGAAGCCAGTGAGAGATTGGGATGTTTCAGGGTCATTAACCATGGAGTTTCACTGTCCTTGATGGCTGAGATGAAGAAGACTGTTATTGATCTCTTTCAACGTCCATACGAGGTGAAACTGCGTAACACCGATGTGCTTCTAGGGAGTGGTTACAGAGCTCCAAATGAAATCAATCCTTACTATGAAGCATTAGGTCTCTATGACATGGCTTCTCCTCAAGTTGTCAATACCTTTTGTGACCAACTCGAAGCTTCTGCGGATCAAAGGTTAACTTCTTTTTTCTTTGGTCTCAAAGGGTTCTTGTGATGGAAATATTGATTTATGTCTTGATGTATTTTGGAGTTCGCAGGGAGATTATGGTAAAGTATGCGAAAGCTATCAATGGACTTTCAATGGATTTAGTGAGGAGATTAGCAGAGAGTTACGGGCTGGTTGAGACCGACTTTTTCAAAGGATGGCCTAGCCAGTTTCGGATTAACAAATATCATTTTAGACCCGAAACTGTCGGGAAACTCGGTGTGCAACTGCACACGGATTCAGGGTTCTTGACGATTCTTCAAGATGATGAAAATGTTGGAGGACTTGAAGCTATGGACAGTTCTTCAGGAACCTTTTTCCCTATAGACCCGTTGCCAAACACACTTGCTATCAACCTCGGGGACATGGCTACGATATGGAGCAATGGAAGATTGTGCAATGTGAAGCATAGAGTGCAATGCAAAGAAGCAACGATGAGGTACTCTATCGCCTCGTTCTTATTAGGACCAATGAATACAGATTTGGAACCTCCAAGTGAGTTTGTGGATGCAGAACATCCGAGATTATACAAGCCTATTAGTCACGAAGGGATACGAAATATTAGAATGACCAAAAAATTGCATGATGGAGAAGCTCTCAAGCTTATAACCCATGAAGGGCTAAATAAATGATCTAGAAGGCATTTTAAGATGGTAGCGCTATGGAACCAGAAAACTGCAATTTCTTACCTAAGAATGAGAAATAAAGAATGTATTAAAGATGTATTACCTATTGGATTGTTGCAATATATGAAATTTTTCTACCTAGAGATCTTTGTGGATGAAATACTACTATTGATCCCCTGTTTTGTTGGTGGTACCTGAAGAGAAGAAAGAAATTATCAAAATCATATTCAGTAACCCCAGAGGTCCACTTGTTCCTGATCCTGAGCCTTATTGCAAAACGATTGGTAGATTGATGATCTAATTGGCAGTAACAAGAACAAAAATTCCATACTGTGTTCATGTGTTGACACAATTTATGCAAGAACCATTGGCGTGCAACTTTAAGAGTAGTTTTTTTTTTTTTTTTTTTTTTTTTTTTTTTTTTAAGAGTAGTTGAATACTTGGATATCATATCATAAATGCATAGGGGGCAGATGCACCCTCCTTGGTGGCTCTAGATCCGCCCATGATGACACGTATATCACAAACCGCTAAGAGGTGACGTTGATCTTGTGTTGTTATTACTAAAACTTTGCTTGAAATCATTCGAAAACGTAACTCTTTTTTTTTTTTTTTTTTTTTTCGAAAACGTACTTAAATAGCGTTTTTGAATGATTTCATTTTTGTGGTACCGGTATAGACTCTAATGGTTTGTACTAGAGACATTGTTGGATCACTATGCAACTTCAAATTTGCATGTATACGCATAGTTCCGATGGTATTCAAATTCACGTGGAAAGCGTGGAGAGTATTTTATTGATTGTTGAGGCAGACTTCTGCGGTCGAAAATACTTGCGACTTCTTTATATATATCCTCTCGCCTTCGATAAGTCAATTTCCAGTATATTTACTCCTTCGTTTTTCTCGAGGTTATCTAGAGATAGTAAGATCCCCGACGAAATTAAGGTACTCTTTAGTGTTACTTCTTGTTCCTTAAACGTCTTTGCCAAATTCAGAATACTTTGGTATTTTTTTTTTTTCGATGAATACTTTGGTATTTTGATCATATCTTTCGTTTAACTAATTTGCTACTGAACTCACTAATTACGTCACTCTCTGAAGATGTTATTTTTCGTACAGCCATTGGACTTAAGAGTTTTTCGTTGACTAGAGAAAGATTTTTCTTTTTTTCTCTTTTCCAAACTTTTCCATTGAAGATAATGGCGGAAGTAAATGGAGTAATTCCTTCATACAAAAAAAGTGGAGTAATTCCGACAATAGACTTGGAAGAGGTTAATGATCAAATTCTGAATCAAAAAATTCGCCAAGCAAGTGAAAAATGGGGATGTTTCACGGTGATAAACCATGGGGTTTCTTTGTCTTTGATGGCTGAGATGAAGAAGACTGTTAGAGATCTCCATGAACGTCCACATGAGATGAAAGTGCGAAACACCGATGTGTTACTAGGTAGTGGTTACAAGCCACTAAGTGAGTTGAATCCTTTTTATGAATCATTTGGTAGTTTTGACATGGCATCTCCTCAAGCTGTCAATAATTTCTGTGATCAACTTGACGCCTCCGCAGATCAAAGGTTATTATTTATTGTACAATTGGTAATTGGATCCATCAAACTGTGTGAAACATTAATCTTATGTTTTTTTTTTTTTGGTTGTTGGCTATTTGCAGGGAGATTATGCTAAAGTATGCGAAAGCTACTGATGATCTTGCAAGGAATCTGGCAAGGAGATTAGCGGAGAGCTATGGAGTGGTGGACCAACATTTTCTGAGAGGATGGCCTAGCCATTTTCGGATGAACAAATATCATTTTAAACCGGAAGCAGTTGGAAAACTCGGTGTGAGATTACACACGGATCCTGGTTTCTTGACAATTCTTCAAGGTGATGAGGATGTTGGTGGACTTGAAGCCATGGACAATTCTTCAGGATCCTTTTTCCCCATTAACACATTGCCGAACACGCTTCTTGTCAACCTTGGTGACATGGCTACGGTGAGATGATATCATCACATTAGCTAGTATACTTCAAAAATGTGTTGAACATGAAAATTAAACTTTATTTTTGGTTTTTTGAAACTTTATGATAGATATGGAGCAATGGAAGGTTATGCAATGTGAAGCATAGAGTGCAATGCATAGAGGCCAAAATGAGGATTACTACCGCTACCTTCCTGTTAGGACCAGTGGATAGAGATCTTGAAGCTCCTGATGAATTTGTGGATGCTGAACATCCGCGACTATACAAGCCTATCAGCGACGGAGGACTAAGAAAGATTAGACTTAGCAAGCATCTTCATGCTGGCGAATCTCTCAAGTTTATAACCATTAAAGATTTAAATGACGTCCCAAAGATAAATTAAGGGGACTGTTAAATGTATCTAAATAATTCTCATAATAATTTTAATATTTGTTACGCTGGATCATGTAATAAATTTCATTGTGCTTATGGTATCCCGCTTTCTAATCCAATCATCCCGCTTGACATACATGCATAAGAGTTTTTTTTTTTTTTTTTTTACTCAGGGTAAATTCTCAGGCTTATGAAGGGGTTGAGAACTAATTTATGGGGAGATGAATCAGATGATGCCCCACGGGTAAGATGCCTCCAAATTTTCAAATGGGCCGTAAACAATGGGCCAAGACCCATGTGGCCAAAAGGATAAAACTGAGCAATTCTGTGTCTGCGGAGAATCGATCTCTGACCTAGACCAACAGAGCCACTCTTCCACCAAACTAGAACCACTAGCCCACCACCTATGATTCATCCATAAGGGTTACATACACTAATTAGTCAAGCATCCAAGGGATATATAATACAACGGTAATTAGACAATGTATTATCTATGTGAATATAATTAAATGTAATCAATAGTTGGAAGGGCTTATAAGATAAGTAAGAGGAGAATGGAAACAAGGCTCCATCAACATGGCCCTAACACATGTTGCAAGCTAGAGCTGCATGTGCGGTTGTTGAGACTCCACTAATCTGGCAGGACCTTGAAATTATCCGTCATACTCAAGAGATGCATGTCAGCAAGCTGTCCTCTGGTTAAGCATCTTCTTATCACTTTCTTCAATAATATGAAAGCATAGGCTTTCAGGGGCAGACCCACTAACCAGGTAGGTAGGCCAGTTGACCTGAGTAAAATAATTATATATCTGTTTTTATGCTTAAGTATTTTGGCAATTCCTTGAATTTGGTTATAGGGGTGTCAAAATGGGTAACCCGACCCGACCCGACCCAAACCCACATGGATTTGAGTGTTTAATGGACGGGTTTGACCCGACCTATATATTTATATGGGTTGAATTTACATACCCAAACCCATTATTATAGAAATCTATTGGCTTAGTGGGTTATATGGGTACCCATATATATGTATAATAAAATATATAAATAATAAAAATCCAAAAAATAACATAAAATTGTAAACGAACAAAAGTTTTTAAATAATAAATTAAAAAATCTAGATATTAAAGTAGAAAAACATCCTAAAATCTTAAAACCACAAATCCAAAGAACCATAAAACCAAATAAAAAAGATAGTTGTAAAGAAAAAAAGATATTTTACATATATTTATATAAATTTTACATAATATATTAATATAGATATATATAAATTTTACTTTTTAGTTTTGGTTATGAAACCCATGGGTAACCCATGACCCTAATGGGTTTTACCCATTAAACTTATAACCCTAATAGGATAACCACTGAAACCTATATATATATGGGTAAAAAAATTCTACCCAAACCCACTAAAATCATGGACGGGTTCGGATAACCCATGGGTATTAACCCATTTTGACACCCCTATTTGGTCACTTCATGACCCATGTTCGATTCTTCTCATTAACTCCTTTGATCTAATTTTCCTTTTTATGACAACTTAAGTACGTTTTTTTCTCTTATAATTTTTTTTCTTCCGCAAAACAACAACTTTCTTTTGAGATATAGTATGCTTGTATATTATTTATTATGCGATATATTAAAAAGTACATTTTAATTTATTAATGACCCGGATAAAAAAAAATTTGGGTTCGCCGATGTAGGCTTTCTTAGTTTTGATATTGGTATATGTCGAATAGTGTGTTGTCTGACCATCATGGCATATATCGGATTATTATATATTAGAGCATCCATAGTCTCTATCACATATGGATTTTCCATAATTAGGGAAAACAAAATAATAATATTTTATAGAGTGAGTTTTCCAAAAAGTGGAAAAATCCACCAAAAAGTTTCTCATTTTATTAGTTTGTATTTTCTATAAAAAAACTATTGATGAAGATATTCCTAGACTACTCTACAACCTACTCCGCAACCTACTGCACAAAAATTAGGAACATTAATCCTTCATATCGAATGTTTTCTTTATCAATTTTAGACACTTAAATAACACGATTTTCTTAATTCATACTCCTTTCGTTCCTGAAAGTTTGATGTTTTAGTGTTTTATATTTGTTCCACAAAGATTGCTTTTCTAGTTTTTTATTTTATTTTTTATTAATTGATATTAACAAATCGTAGATTTCAAGGCGTAATGATTACAAATAATTAACTGTTTTAGATTATTATTGGTTCATACATTATTAAAAATATTTAATAAAAAGAAAAAATTATTAAATGATTAAATCATGATTGTTTCTTAATATATGTGTAAACTCTAAAACATCAAATTTTCAGGAACAGAGGGAGTAGTAAAAACTTTAGTATTACACATCTCATAATACAATATCTAGTACTAAGAAAGAAGATTGAACCAACAATGCAAAAAATCCTTGGGTGTTTTAGGTTTAGCTAGCTGTTTGGATATAAACGTGACTCACGTTGACGTTGTTATGTTTTTTTTTTTTTGAAATCCCACGTGACTCACGTTGACGTTGTTATGTTTTTTTTTGCAATCCCACGTGACTCACACACATTTTGGATTCATTACCCATTTTTAGATATTGAGTTTTCATATATTTGTCTCTTATTCCTGTTTGTTGAAACGTCTTTGTCGAATTCTTATAGTTTGACAAATGATGAGAGAGAGAATGTCTTTGGTGTTACGTCATTCTCTCGGAGGAGGTTCTTCTTTGTAACGTTGGACAAAGGTTGTAATAGATATGGATCAGCAACGGGAGGTTGTGCAATGTGAAGCGTAGAGTGAAATGCATAGACGCAAAAGTAAGGATTTAATTTCTATCTCCTCATTCCTATTAGGACCAGTGGATAGAGATCTTGAAGCTCCAGATGAATTTGTGGATGCTGAACATCCACAACTATATATATATATATATACAAGCCTATAAGCGACGGAGGACTAAGAAAGATTAAACTGAGCATGAATCTGCATGCCGGCGAATCTCTCAAGTTTATATCCGTAAAAGACTTGAGCGATCCAAAAATAATAAATTTATATAGGAAAAACTAACACATCTACCACATTTTCCCCCAAAACTTTCCAAATGTACCACATTTGGAATTGTCTTTCCAATCCTACCACATTTGGTCTGTGGAGTTACAATTTTACCCTCTCTTGTTGAAGAAATTTTCGTGTTCCACGATGCAACGATTTGACTTCTCTTTAACTGTTTTGCTTTCATATTTATCTCTCATCCCTCGGGACACGTGCGCTTTAACAGAGAAACATTATTTCTCATGAGACTAAACAATTAACTTTCGGTTTTGTCTCGAAATCTTGTCTTCGATTAGAAATTTTCTGTTGCGTCTAGATCTTGTCCCCGATTTAATCATCATGCTCTATTATCATGAATCTCACATCTTGTCCACCAATTGTTCTCGTTTAAAAGTTTTGAATTTTATATAGATTTCACATCATCTATTCTGGTCCACAGATTCGTTGAGCACTATTGTCTTCACCTACCCGGATTATTGAACTTTTTTTCCTTCTATTGCGGAATAACAGAAAGATCTAGTTGTCCCCGAGTAAATCCAAATTTTTGGCGGACAAAACTACACCATCTGGCGATGGACAATCAAGAGAATTAGATGATAAAAATTATCATGCTCAATTTTTGATCTAATTATATTACTCATTCGATTTGAACTTGTCCCCGATCTAACTATATTACCCATTCGATCATAACTTGTCTCCGATCTAATTCTACACATTTAGATTTGGGTTTCTTCTCATATGAACTTGTCCCCGATCTAATTCTATTACTCATTTGATCTGAACTTGTCCTCAATCTAATTCTGGTACTCATTCGATATGAACTTGTCCCCAATCTAATTATATTACTCATTCCATATGAACTTGTCGCCGATAGAATTATATTACTCATTCGATCTGAACTTGTCCATGATCTACTTTTATTACTCATTCGATATGAACTTGTCTTTGATCTAATTATATTACTTATTCGATATGAACTTATCCCCGATCTAATTATATTACTCATTCCATATGAGCTTGTCCCCGATATAATTATATTACTCATTCGATCTGAACTTGTTCCCGATATAATTATATTACTCATTCGATCTGAATTTGTTCCCGATCTAATTATATTACTCATTCCATATGAACTTGTCCCCGATTTTAATTTAATATTATCTAATATATTAAGAGAACAATTGTAAACGTGCAGCATTAAATGCAGACTGCTCCATCTTGTCCCAAGTTGTCTCTTTCTCTGACACACACTTCTCTCTCCATCAAGGGCAATTTCGTCCGGATTTAGGCATGTGGCAACAAAATGTGGTACATTTGGAAAGCTTTTCTCAAATGTGGTAGATTTGGAATGCCACATTTCAAAATGTGGTAGATTTGGAAAGATTCCTATTTATATAGGCGTCTGTAATACGAACCAATATAATATGTCCTCAAATATTGCTTAGCTTTTCCTATTAGCATTACTTGTGTTGTGATATTTTTTGGATTGTTTACCTAATCTTATTTTATTATTTCAGATTAGAAAAGTAATCCTAATTCAAAATGTACAATTTAATTATTATTTCAGATTACAAAATATACAATTTAATTCATAAAAAATATTAAATCACGTGATGTATAGCACGGACCATGATCTAGTCATAGTAGTAACCCATTACGTTACTTGAAAATATTCACATCGAGAATTGGGTACAATTTTAAAAGGGTTGGCTGATTTTTCAGCCCTATACTAATTGCAATCTCAACTTTTCAACCCAAACTTTTTATCTCTGAAAAAACCACCATAAAAAACTTTAATCTCAATAAAACTACACGTACTTTCGAATTTGTTCTTAAAACTACGCCTCCAATTGAACCGATCAGTTAACCGGTAATATATAATCCGGTTTGATTTACCCAGAATTTTAACCAAAGTTAATCAATTTTGACTCCATTTTAACCCAATTTTGACCCAAAAACAAATATAAAAGAAAACAAATGTCTTCTCTATAAATAAAATTATTATTTTTATTTATTTATTTTTAATAAACAATTAAAAATAATAAATTAATTTTACCAAAAAAATAATATACCACAAAATAATATGAAAGTATACCACAAAATAATATGAAAGTATACCACAAAAAAATATATATAACAAATTTTTGGTCTATACTTTTGTTTATATAACAAAATATACAACAACAAAAAATATACCAAAATAGACCACAAATTATTTTTTGTGCTATATTTTGTTATAAAGTTTTGGTAATATAACAAAATATACATTTTCTTTTTGGCAATCATTTTTCTTATAAATTCATTTTTCTTTTTAAAAATTAAAAGGTTGGTTATATATATATATATATATTATTGTGTTTTTAGAAAGAAAAATAACTTTTGAATTTATAAAAGAAAAATGATTGCCAAAAATAAAATGTATATTTTGAATATCACCACAAATCAAAGTATATAATATCACCACAAATAAAATTCATTTAATCATTTATATATATATATAATGAATTTGGTATAATATATATATAAAATTCAAACTCATTTTTCTTTTTAAAACCACCATATATATATATATATTATATAAATATATATATATAACCGACCTTTGAATTTATAAAAAAAACTGAATCTATAAAGAAAAATGAATTTATAAATATCATAATATATACTTTGATTTGTGGTGTTTAAGGATATATATATATATATATATGTATATATATATGAGTTTTGCATATACTTTGAATTTCATAATATAGAAAATTCAAAGGTCATATATTATGATTGCCAAAAAAAATTATTATTTTAGTTTTTTGTAATATTACCAAAAGTATATACCAAAATTTTATTATATAATTCTTTTGTGGTTTATTTATTTTATTTTTTTTATCTTTTTGGATAAAATTAAGTTATAATTTATTATTTTAATTGTTTATAAAAATAAATAAATTTATGGGGCTTTTGCAAAAATGCCCCTTTTTCAATGCCCCTTTTCAAAAATGCCCCTTCTTTATAATTTTATAAAAAATGCTCTTAAAAATATAAGATTTACCCAAATATGTATGTAACATTATTAAAACATATACAAACTACATTTTTATGTATCTAAAATCTTATAAATACTTTATAAATACCTTATAAATGCATTTTAAATACCTTTAAAAACCTTTAAAATATCTTGTAAAACCTTTGAAAAACCTTAAAAATCCTTTAAAATAACTTGTAAAACCTTTAAAAACATCTTATAAAACCTTATAAATACTTGGATCGAGTCTTCAAGTAGTAGTTACAATCCATAAGTACCTTATAAACCTAATAAAACTTTATAAAAATTTCAGATTTAAAAAGGGGCATTTTTGAAAATGGACATCTAAAAGGGGCATTTTTGAAAAGAGGCACACCAAAAGGGGCATTTTTAACAATTTCCCTAAATTTATTTATAGAGAAAACATTTTTTTCTTTTATATTTGTTTTTGGGTCAAAATTGGGTTAAAATAGAGTCAAAATCGATTAATTTTGGTCAAAATTCTGGGTAAGTCAAACCGGATTAAATATTATCGGTTAATTAATCGGTTCAATTGGAGGCGTAGTTTTACGAACAAATCTAGAAATACCTGTAGTTTTATTGAGATTAAAGTTTTTTTTTGATGGTTTTTTCAGAGGTAAAAAGTTTGGGGTGGAAAGCTGAGATTGCAACTAGTATAGGGCTGAAAAATCAGCCAACCCATTTTAAAATTTAACATACTTTTGTGGAAATTATAAAAGATACTAAATAGTTCAGGGGCTTATTTGCTAATCACGTGCGCATCTTTTTTGTTGACGACGACAAACCCTAGCGAGTTTATCCGACTTTTGAAATCGTCGTCGCGTCAGGGAAATTACTCGCCGAGATCTGAGAGACGGTGTTGTAAGATGACATCTCACCATAGTTTCGGCGCCGAAGTTATAAGCAGCGACGATAGATCGTATTCGCCGAGATCAGAGAGATTTCTAAAGGTAACACACACTTTGCTGATCACTTCGACTTTTTAGGGATTTGTAGGCAATACATGATGAACATAAAAGAAGATTTTTTTTTAAAAAAAACATAAAAGAAGATGAATTCTTACAATAATCAAAGTTCATCTGAGACATCGACTAACTTAAGCCCTGTTTTCCAATCCTCACAAAACCTAACAAAAGGAGTGATTTTGATTGTCTTAGCCTGACAACCATGGAGCGGTGCTCTAAGAAAACAAGGCTCCATCGACATGGCCTTAACACATGGTGGGTTTGGAGTTTTCTTGTCCCTTGGCTCGTAGAGTATCCATGGCTTTAACCCTCCTAGACCTTGAGCTACATATCCAAAGGTAGACCTCGTGCTTGTCACAAGTTCATCGGTTAGGCTTAGGAGGTAGATCTCGGCTAGTGCCTTTTGGTCGTGAAGCTTCTTGTCTGTTTGCTGAATCTTTTCTCCACTTGGCTGATAAACTTCAATTATTTCTCCTGTTGAACTTGGTCGTTCCAAAAGCATGTTCTTTAGATGATCAGAGTACTCTGGATGCAGAGATGTGACCAAGACAGCTTTAAGTTTTGAGCTTCTTGATGTATTAGTGACTTGTGATTCTTGTGTGGCCAGTTCAGGCAACAGTTTCTCTCTTTGTGTACAGGATAAGATCTGGTCCATTACGTGTTGGAAATATCCAGCGGGTTTGCTAAACACTCGTACTTGAATCCCGAGTCTCGCGTCTGCTCTTGATAAGTAAGCATTGTATGATCTAGTGACCATACCCCAAACTTGGTTTGTCGGGTGAAAAAGATATCGAGCCAAATGGTGAAAGACGGTTTCTTTCTGTGGGAATAGTTTGATGAGTTTGGTTTGGAAACTTGGGATCATCCATAGAGATGGAACAAAGTACAGGTTGGATTTGACAACGAGCCAAGGGACTTTCCCGAGGAAAGCTTGATCTTCTTCACAGAAGAACTTTTTATCATGATCCCTGGAATCATGGAAAATATCAAGATAAAGATGTGACGGTATTGTAGTTGAGTTAATGGCATGATTCTTCAACATTGTGCCGTAACAGCGCGAATGTTCCCGGTTGAAGCCATCTAGCTGATCAGTCAATGGGAAATGTAGAGGAAGTAACCATGAAATTTCCGGGAAAGGCTCGCAGAAGAGGTCAGTTATATCGTTCCGTTGGTCAACAAGCATGACTCTATCTGTCAAGAGAGCATAGAGGAAGACAGAGACCAGAGAAAGCATTCTGTTTCCCAGACCAAACATAGGCATCCACACAACATACCGACATTCGTCATCAGAGCTTCTTAATTCGTTGTGACCAAGCTGCTTTGTAGCTCTCTTGTAAGCTTTTGTGCCAGGACCGCATCGCTTTTGAAGCATCTCGTAGCTTCTAAGCTTAGAGACAAGATATCCAGATGGTTTGTATGGTGAAGGCTTGCTCATAGACTGATCATACCTACTTAAGCAAGATTTCTCATCAAATCCTGTAGCAAGAAGCCCTCCTAGCAGTTTCTCACTTTGTCGTTCAGAATTGTTTAAACCTTTTCAAGAACAATGAAAGAATGTGAGCATTTCTCTTTATTTGAAATAATCTAACCCAACAAAAATGAAGGGTCTTGTTACCGTTGGTCGTAAGATCAGACTTGTGGGGGTTGGAGATGTTGGAGGATGGTAGTAGTAGCACCAAGCAAAGTACTAAGCAAGTGGCGATTGCTATCGTGAGCTTCATCATAATGGAGATCCTAGCTAAAGGAGATATGTTTTCTTCCTGTTTTCTACTTTGTTGCATAGATTTATGGTTTCATTTTGTGGCCATCACGAGGTGAAGGAAATGAGATCTAATAGGTTTGCTTGAATCATTTAATAATATTATTCAATGTTTATCAAGACAAATTTTAGTAATACACTAATACTATGGAATAGGATATCGATCAGTATTTATGATTCAATAAATCTGTTTCCAAAATTTATTATACTCTTAATTCTTTTTTTATTGATCAACATTATACTCTTAATTATCTACTATAAATAATATCATATTTTGTGGAATAAGATATGAAAAATTTGTATTCATTAAAATTTGGAATTAAATATAATTTCTATAAACCATATGAAAATTACTTCCATATATTTTGAGAAGTTTTTTTCGTGATTTCGATATTACTTAATTTGTACTAAGGTTCTTTCTTTGTCGTAACGAGTTTGGAGAAAAAGGTTTTCTCTTTGTCGTAATTTGGAGAAAACCTTAAATCACTCTTGTCCAAAGTGAAGGAAACAAAATCTTGAAAAAACCTTACTACAATTATTTTTGCTAGATTTCTTTCCACATGTATATATTTCGAAACATTACGAGATTCGAAATCGCAACCTTAAATAACTCAATTACATTTATTTACATAATAACAATGTCTTTTACAAAACTAAATTGATCAAAACCAGAAGGTCCAGAACATACATAGTCCATCTGACCATATCATATCATGTAACAATTCATTATCATAATCTTAATTTGTCGTGAAGCTTCATTCTAATTACCATGTGGATTTGAACTAGCTAGTGTACTTACAAAAATATTTCTAAGATAACAAGATTCACTTCCATAATGAGAAATAAAATAATAAATAACACCAGATTTTAACTACTTTTTAGAAATCATTAAATAAATATATGAACTTTAAAACTAGTGATCCAAGAAAAACACAAAAAAAAAAAAAAAAAAAAAAAAAACTAGTGGGTTTTAGGTCAAATAAAACACACAAACCCATAAAAAAAATGTGATTTCTAATTTGAATCAACTAGCTTAAGGCCCGTGATCCGATCGTCACAATACATAACAAAAGGGGTGATTTTCACTTCCTTAGCTTGACAACCATAGAGTGGAGCTCTAAGGAAACATGGCTCCATTGACACGGCACGAACACATGGTGGCTCAGGAGCTGAGTTGTTCTTTGGCTTGTAGAGTATCCATGGCTTTAATCCTCCAAGACCTTGAGCAACGTACCCGAACGTAGATGAGTCGCTCGTGACAATGTGGTCCGTTAAACTTAGAAGATATATCTCAGCGAGTGCCTTTTGGTCGTGAAGCTTATTGTCTGTTTACTGATACATTTCTTGGCTTGGTTGGTAAACTTGTACTATCTCTCCTGTCGAACTTGAGCCTTCCCAGTACATTTGCCTTAGATTCTCCGAGTACTCTGGGTAAAGAGAAGTGACAAGAACAGCTTTGAGTTTCAAGCTTCTTGATGTATTATTAGTGACTTGTGATTCTCAGACAGACACTTCAGGTAATAGTTTCTCTCTTTGTGTACAGGCTAAGATTTGGTCCATGACATGCCGGAAATATCCAGCGGGCTTGCTAAAAACTCTTACTTGAATTCCAAGTCTCTCATCAGCTCTTGATAAATAAGCATTGTAGGATCTTGTGATCATACCCCAAACATGGTTAGTCGGGTGAAAAAGATAGCGAGCCAGATGGTGAAAGACGGTTTCTTTCTGTGGGAATAGCTTGCTTAATTCAGATTGAAAACTAGGGATCAACCATAGAGATGGAATGAAGTAAAGATTTGAGTTGAAGACCAACCAAGGGACTTGCCTGATGAGAAGTTGATCTTTTTCACAGAAGAACATCTTATCATGATCCACGTAATCGGGAATAAGATAAAGACAGAGGTATGAGGGGATGATTGTAGTCGAGTTAATGGCATGATTCTTCAACATTGTTCCGTAACAACGAGGAGATTCCCGGTCGAAGCTATCTAACTGATCTGTTAGTGTAAAATCCAGAGGGAGTAGCCAAGAAGTACCTGGAAAAGGCTCACATAAGAGATCCTTTATGTCCTTGCGTTGGTCAACAAGCATGATTCTGTCAGTTAAGAGAGCATAGAGAAACAAAGAAGCAAGAGTAAGTAGTCTGTTTCCTAGCCCATAAACAGCAATCCACACAATGTATCTGCATTCACCAACAGATTTGCTTGAATAATTTTCACCAAGACTCTCTGTTGCTTTCTTGTAAGCTTTTGTGCCAGGACCGCAACGCTTGTGAAGCATCTCGTAGCTTCTAAGCTTAGAGACGAGATATCTGGATGGTTTGTATGGTGAAGGCTTGCGATAAAAGGAAGACTGATACCTACTCAAGCAAGAATCTTCATCAAACTCTTCAGTAAGTAGCCTTCCTAACAGTTTATCTCTCGGTTTTCGGGAATCCGTTGAACCTATTACAAGAGAATTAATTACTAAGTCAAATGAGCATTCTTGACTAAACAAGACCAAAATATGAATGGATCTTACCGTTGGTTGTAGCATTATGAAGCTGGTGGTTGAAGATGATGAAGATTGATAGTAACCAAAGTAGTAAGCAAGTGACTATTGTTATCATGAGCTTGATCTTCAAAACCAAAAGCTCAGAAAACTTCTAGGAGATCTAAAATACTGAAATAGTTATAATTAAGTGATTTCAAAGACTCTGATTCCAATCTTGGTTAAAGAATCTTGATACTTTATAAGTATCATAAATGTGTTATGCTATGACTGTAGGTGATGGTGAAGCTTCTTGTCACTTTGTTGGTACAATCTGCCTCTGCTTCTAAAACTGGTACAAATTGTACCAACAAAGAAATCGGTTATATCGGTACATAGGGTTCGGTTCGATTTTATTTTTAGAAAGATTTGGAATCGGTTCGGTTTTTGTTAATATGCTATCCGTCGCCGGAGAAGAACGAGACGGAGATAAAATCTCTTCTCACTTATAAGACCATCTTTAAAGGTATATCACCTTAGAGTATGAATATTGGTTGAAATGTTGAGTATTTTACACAAATCTTAGGATTAAAGTTGATTAAAAATAATCAAACCAACATCTTAAAGCTAAGATTTGTATCTAAGTTAAGATGTTGCAAGGTGTCACATTGTGATTGGTTAAAAAATCAAATAAAAGAAGGATTTTTTTTTGTGCTTTATGTTATAAATTATATCTCATGTATGTTTTAATTTTTTTAATTTGCAACAATTATTAAATTTTCTATAATTATAAATTTTATTTTTATATTAGTATTTTTTTTTCTAAGAACCACATGTTAAGAACCTACCACTAATCACACAAAAATCTTAACCCAAAAATACTATCTCTTACCTATCACTTTTACAAATATATTACTTAAATATTCCTAAGATTTATTTCTAAGATAGTACCAATAATCATGCTCTTAGGTAGATCTTAAAAATGGTTTTATTATTAAAATAAAAGCTATGAATTAAATGCAGAGAGATACTACACTAAAACAAACCAAAAAAGTTTACGTGGCACTAAGACTTGAGGAAGAACAGTTCATGGGCAAGAGCTTTTACTCACATGTTCTTCTACTATTTACTTATTTCTTAATATTTTAATTCTAAGATCATTACAAAAGTTATTGCGTTGCATATGCTCTTAGAGCATGTGCAATCGAGTTTCTTGACAAAGTCCAGCCCGGGCCCCACTCCAAAACCTATGGGACTTGGAGGGACGTTCCCACATGTCAATCGGGCTAGCCCGGCCCGGCCCGGCCCGAAGCCCGCAAAACTCGTACATATTTGAGTCCGCCCTGTAAAAATTCCGAGCCTATATTTTAAAGCCCGGCCCTAACAGGGCTACAGGGCTTTTTCGGGCTTTTTTGGGCTTTTCTTCCGACAACAAAAAACAAACTTGTAATTTATAATATCTCTTAAAAAAAATCTATATATGAAACGAGTCAATCAAAATTTAAATAACCACTAACGCTAATTTAGTTTTTTAAAAAGAGAGTTAAAATCAAATAAATAATCCAAATAAATTGTTTAAACTTATACTAGATAATATATAAAATCAAAATAATTCAAATTAGGTAGTAGAGCTAATATTTGCTTTTTCGATTTATAGTAATACATAACGAAAAAACTATGTTTAGGGTTTTCAACTCTATCAAAATTTTTTTTACAACAAATCTTACAATTAAACAAAAATATTAACAAAAAAAAAATCAAAATATTTTTTAAAGGGCTTTTCGGGCTAGCCCGAGCCCGGCCGGGCTAAGCCTAAAGAACCCTATAGCCCGAACGGGCTTAGCCCGAAAGACCCGATTTTTTCTAGACATATATTTTGAAATCCGAGCCTGCTGTTTTTCAGGGCTGGGCCAGGCTAGCCCGCGGACTTTGGCCCTAATTGACATGTCTACTCACAAATGGGACGTCCTTTACCTTTGTTTCTTCACTATTCGCGGGCTCCACTGATACGTGGCGGCCCACGATTGGTTACCTTCTTTTTTTTTTTTTTTAATCAAAGTAAAACAAAAAGAATAATAAAAAAATTAAAGTAAGGGACGGGACTTTGATCGAGCGTTGCACATGGTCTTAGTCTCTGCCAGTTGTTTTTTCCGGCTGCCACAAGATCGGAAAACATTTTATGGGGGATGTCCCGATTTGATTACTCTCACATGTGATTCGAAGAGGACTCTCTTCGCGATGGTACGTGGTTCCTGCACTTTCCCGGACGAACATTACATTCTCACACTCAGAGCAAGTGAAAGAAGGTACTTTTGATTATAAAGCATTGGAGTTAAATGAAATTGGGGTTCTTCGAGTATTGACTAGTATGAAGGATGATCCTTATCTTGCTTTATCGTTTCTAAAACGAATTGAAGGAAATGTGGCTTTTTTGCCTAGTGTCCAAGCTTATGCTACTGTTATCAGAATCGTTTGTGGTTGGGGTTTGGATTAGAAATTGGATACTTTTCTAGTGGAACTCCTTAGAAAAGGGACGCGGTTTCTGTGTCATGGATTTGTTAAAGGCCGTTGGAGTAGCAGAAGAGGAGGGAAAAGGGTCATTGCTGTTGTTGAGCAGGCTATCTAGTGCCTTGGTTAAAGCCTACGCTAATCTTGAAATGTTTGACGACGTTATCGATATTTTCTTCCAGACTAGTCCCCTAAGATGTGCTCCAGATATAAAAGCATTTAATTTTTTGAGAAAACAATATGGTGGTGGCTAGTTTCGTGCAAATAGAGCGGCTGCGGTTGGATGCGGATGCACATATGTGCTTGTGGTTCAAGCATTGTCTAGGAATGAGGATACAAAAGGAGTAGAGAAGCTTCTTAGTAGACTGTTAAACTCAGAGACGAGGAATCTTTGCGTGTTTTATTTGAATTTCATTGAAGGACTATATCTAAATCAGATGACAGGTATAGCTTATTTAGGAAGGAAGAACATTATCTCAAAATAGAAGAAACTAAAGTTGATGATTAAAACTTGGAGTTGAACCTGGGAAGAGCATGTTTGGGGAATTAATTTGCGCTTGGTGTCGAGTTAAAAATGTGAGAAAAGCCCGGTGGAATTTTAATGTTTTAGTTGCTAGAGGAATAATCCCTGATTTGTACACTTTTACAATCATGATTAGCACACATTGCCGGTTAAACGAGCTGAATGAAGCCTATGCTCTTTTTATAAGGATGAAGACGATGGGGATCAAACCTGATGTGGTAACATGCATAGTTTTGCTCAATATTCCAAAGTTAGATACGAAGAGGGAAATGAAGGCCTTTGATGTTAAACCAGACGTTGTCTACTATACGGTTTTGATTGCTCAGCAGTGCAAGATTCAGAATCTTCAAGAGGCGGAAAGGATCTTTGCTGAAATGATTGAAAGTGGATTGGAGCCTGATGTTGTGCCTTACACAGCACTAATAGCTGGTTGTTGTAGGAATGGATTCGTACATAAGGCGGTCACACTTATGCAAGAGATGTGGGAAAAGGGTATTGAGCCAACTAAAGCTTCCCTGTCTGCAGTACACTATGCTATATTAAAGGCCAAGAGACTTCGTTCTAGAAAATGATCCGAGAATTTATGAAGAGAGCCTATATCTACAAGGTCAAGTGAGAATGTGGAAACACGGTTATAGGTATCTAACCGTGTGAGAAGATTTGCAATAAAATCGCCTAATTCCTAATCCACTGCAGGAATTCAGGTAAAGCATGATAACCTCGCCTAATTCCTGATTCAGAAACTCTTGACACAGAGGATTTTCATAGCTCTCAGACACAGGAGCCTTATTGATTTTGAATTGTAAGTAAATGTACAGTGTTATTATAAATTTATAATAACCCAAACAAGCCTTGTAATTGTTCTAAAAAAAGTAAAAAACTATATGTTTCTGTGCATTAACATATAAATACAGAGGATGGAATTGTAAACTGTAAAGTGTTAGATTTTCATTAAGCATAAAAGCATGATTCGTTTTATTTGTGTGTTTAATTAAAAACTGAACCAGGACACTAATAATGATTATTATAGACGACTCTAAAAAGAAAGATAAAAACTTTGATTATTACATGCAATCAGAAGAATTCATCAAAGATTTTCTGTTTCAATAACTCACAATCCTATTGAATCAGCTATAGTAAACAAGATCTATAACTCATCAAATAGCTTAAGCCCATCGTTCCCACGATCCTCACAATGCCTTACAAAAGGAACTACCTTCCCGGAGTCAGTTCCCCATTCGGGTTCACATCCATGAGACGGAGGAGTCAGGTGACAAGGGTCCATAGACGTGGATCGAATACACGGCGGATCAGGAGCTGTAGGACCAGTTGGCTGATAGAGTAACCATGGCTTTAATCCTCCAAGACTATGAGCAACATATCCAAATGTAGACCTTGCGCTTGTGACAATGTTATCAGTTAGACTTAGAAGATACATCTCGGCGAGTGCCTTTTGGTCGTGAAGCTTCTTGTCTGTTTGTTGAACCCTTTCTCCACTTGGCTGGTAAACTTCAATGATCTCCCCTGTTGAGCTCGGTCGTTCCCAATACATGTTCTTTAAGGTTTCAGAGTACTCTGGATACAAAGATGTGACAAGAACAGCTTTAAGCTTCTGGCTTCTTGATATATTGACTTTTGATTCTTCTTGTGCAGCTGGTTCAGGCAAAAGGTTCTCTCTTCGTGTGCAAGCTACGACCTGATCCATTACATGCTGAAAATATCCAGCTCGATTGCTGAATATCCGTATCTGAATACCAAGCGTCTCGTCTGCTCTTGATAAGTAGGCATTGTAGGATCTTGTGATCAATCCCCAAACTTGATTCGTCGGATGAAAAAGATGCCGAGCAAGATGGTGAAAGACAGCTTCTTTCTGCGGGAATAGCTTCATTAGTTCGGTTTGGAAAGTTGGATTTAACCATAGAGATGGAACAAAGTAGACATTGGCTTTGACAATCAACCAAGGGACTTTGTCGACTAAAGACTGATCCTTTTGGCAGAAGAACATCTTATCATTATCCCTTGAATCATGAAGAATATGAAGATATAGATGCGGAGGGATTAAAGTGGAGTTGATGGCTTGATTGTTCAACATTGTTCCGTAACAACGAGAGTATCCCTGGTTGTATCCATCAATCTGTTTCATCAATGGGAATTCAAGAGGAAGTAACCATGAAGTACCTGGAAACGGCTCGCAGAAGAGATCACTTATATCTTTACTTTGATCAACAAGAACGACTCTCTCTGTCAAGAGAGCGTAGAGGAAGACAGAGGAAAGAGTAAGGATTCTGTTTCCTAGC